CTCTTTATCTTTGTTTATCAATAATTCTGTTTCTTTTATGTCTATTTATTCATTTTCACTATCATTTTATTCTTACATGATTATTTTGAATATATAATATAAATATTACAATAATAATAATAATATAAATTATTAAATTAATATTATAATAATATTATATCAAGAAATAATGAATTTTGAATTAAAAATAAATTTTGTAATTCATAAATGGCTCCATAAATCATAGTTTGTCATTTAGATTCAAACTTATTATGCATAATATAAATTGATGATGTGATAATATTAAATAGTTGTTTTAAAAATTAAACAATTTTAGAGTAATATCATATTATTAATTATTATGTAATATTTAAATTTGTTCATACAACCAATATCAAGCTCAGTAGTATTTCCATACTCTAGTTTGTAACTCCATAATGTGGATTACTATAATCAATCAGTACATTCTCAATATATCGGATTGGTTTCATAAATCGATGATAACCAGTCTGATGTTCAAACTATATAAAAATATAGTTAATATGGCACACTTGTGCATATAGCAAAAGAGCAAGATGATACTTCACACTCTTACAAAGCTTTTGCATTTGCTAGATTTCGAATTAATTCGTTTTGCCAACTTACTCCATTTTTAGTAGCAAATGTTGAAATATTGAATGATGATATCCAAAATTACGATACAGAAATTCTTGGTGTATTTAAAGATGCAATAAAAGTAGAATACTATAATATTTTAGATCTATATGGAAAACTTTTCACTTCTACCAAATGCTCTTTTAAAATAGAAAATAGATGAAGAAGACAACATAGTGAAATTATATTATTAAGTTTCAAACAAAATCTAAATTCCATTCAACCAAAAAATTAGATTATTATAAATGAATGATAATAATGAAAGAATATCAACATTGATATAATATTTGAATCATAAAATGATATAATACTCTACAAATAATGAATTAGAACAAAAACTTAAGCAGGAACTTATTTCTGAAATGTAAAACAATGGAGATAATTTAATTAATTAAACTCAATAAATTGTTCCATAAATCCAAGAATTAGAACTGGATTATTAAAAATAATATGTTGAATCTTTACCATGGGGAATCTTGCATCCAGAAACTGTGAGCATATCTCAATGTAAAGAGAAATTAGATAAGAAACATTATGGTTTAGACATGGCTAAATAGCGTATTCTATAATACTTGGCAATTAAATATTTAACAAAATCTACTGGATCCATAATTTGTTTACATGGTCATCCAGGAGTGGGGAAGACATCATTAGCTTAAAGTATAGCTGAATCTCTTGGAAGACCATTTTAAAAGATATCATTAGGTGGAGTTTCAGATGAAGCTCAAATAAGAGGTCATAGAAAGACCTATGTTGGAGCATAGGCAGGTATGATTATGGAAGCAATAAAGAAAGCAAAATGTATTAATCCTGTCATCTTACTTGATGAAATAGATAAGATTAATTAATATACAGTTGGATCAGCATTATTAGAAGTTTTAGATCCAGAATAAAATAAATCATTTATGGATAATTATGTAAATGAAGAATTCAATTTGAGTTAAGTTTTATTCATTTCTACAGCCAATTATATTGAATCTATATAACCAGCATTAAGAGACAGATTGGAAATGATAGAAATTCCATCCTATACAATTGATGAAAAGGAGAAGATTGCAATTTAACATTTAATTCCAAAATAAATGGAACTTAATGGTATAGATAAGAAGGTAGATTTTAGTAAAGATGTTATTAGATATCTAATTACAAATTATACAAATGAAAGTGGAGTTAGATAATTAGAAAGATAAATTAATTCTATTTTTAGAACAATTGCACTTTAATAAGTAAGAGGAAAGAAGAAGGGATCATATTATATTAATAAGGGATTCATCAATTAATGTTTGGGGGAATCAACAATAGGTTACAAGAATATCAGATTATAGAGTATTGGAATGTGTAAAGGGTTGAATGATGGAATGAATATTTTAGAAGTCATTAAAACAAAAGGATAAGGCAATTTATTCTAGTAATCTAAAGATTAATATATTGTTGAATAAGGAATAACTGCCTTATCTTATTTAAGGAATTGTTTTAAATACATATAATTTTAGAATTGGGACATTAATGTTGCAAATTAAAATTGTTTGGGTGTTTGTGTTGTTGTTGCAATGATGTCACTATTTATGAATAAGAAAGTGAAATCAAATGTTACCTTTGCAGGAGAATTGAGTTTAAAAGGATCTATTTTAAGATAAGACAATTTAAGAGAAAGTATTATTTAGGCAGCTGAATCTGGAATTGATATGTAAGATTATGATTTAATTTAAAAGTATTATTATTCCATCCTAGAATGTGGGTGACATTTAGAACTTAGAACCTTCAATAAAAAAGAGAATAAGATTAGTTGATCATATTGAGGAAGTTTTTTAGATAGCATTTGAAGATGGATTTACTTACTACCACTACCCTAATTTATGATATATATATATATATATATATTATAAAATTTTCATTAAATATATATATTTTATATATCACTTGTAAATTTCACCTTAATAGATTGCTGTCTCTAGATTTTATCTCATTTTGCAACATTTTTAAGAAGCATTTTAAATTCTCTCTTTTTTTTCTACAAAATCTTTTTTTTATTCATGTATTGGTTTTTCTGATTATGTATATTCTAATTTTTCAATTTCATCAAATAGTTTTATTAATGAGATTGCCAAGGTTTCACAAGCATGTTCAAAGAGATCTTAATAATGATCAAATAATTTTGCTGACTATTAATTTGTTTTAGATATATAGTAACCAATACAATAAGACCTAATAATTAAATATTTATATATATACCATTTTAATACAACTCTAGATTGAATTAATTCTTTCATTGCTTCCTCTAAAAATTAACTATCTTAATATGTAAATTAGTAATGCTTAAATATCGAAGTGATATATTATTCCTTAATTTGTTTCAATCTCTACATTGCCTTTTCTTTGGCAGCTTAAGAGTTTAAGAATCTTTCATAATAGAAATTATATCTTTGTAAAACTTCTTTCTCTTTTTCAATATTAGCAGTAGGAGCCACATATTTGTTGCATTTAAAATGATCTTTATGATCAGGTTCCCATGGTTAAGAACAAACATAACAAAAAGCTTTTCCACATCCTCCTGGAGGTTTACACATCATATAATTACAACCTTCTGATCTCTCAACTGGTTTTTTACAAAAAGGACATGATTTTGTATTAACAACAATCCATCTTACATTAGCTTCATCCTTTTTAATTTCAGCTAACCATTTCTTAACCAAATCACAAGGACATGGAGGATGAAGATCTTCTTTACAATAAAAACAAAACTTATTCTAACATACACATGTCACTTCTTTCACTGAAGTGTATTAAGGCTTCAAAATCTTATTACAATCCACTCCTGTACAATAAGCTAGATATCTTGAACAATCAACGAATCTTCTGCAAAGTAAATTCTCAAATTCTTAGGCATTTGAATATTTTTTGAGCATTGAGAAAGGCAATCTGTAATTACATCCATCTTATAAGCATCTTGCTACTAAGTATTTATCCTCATACACTCTCTACTTTATGGTCTGTTCAATACAAGATTAGCAAAATTTATGACTGCATCCTAATTGAATTAAGTTTCCTTCAAACAAACAAACTTAACAACATCCTTTTATTCCATTATAAATGATTTTTTCGTGATTATTAAAAATTCCTTTCGCTTTTAATTCCGCCAATAATGCCTCTTAATTAATGAAATAATTCTATATGACATCTTCTCTATTCCAATTATAGTGCATAAGTAACTTTATTACCAAGAATTATTACTTCAAAAGTATTGTCTTCATTAAAATATAATTCCTCAGAGAGCTCTTAAACCTCTTTTATGATCACTTAAATAACATCCCTAATTTCTAGGATCTCTACACTATTAATTCTATTCAATAAGTATATACCCTTATAAAGAAAATTATTTTTCCAGCTCTACAGAATCATTATCGCAGTCAAATTCGTTTGGGTAATCCAATTGCATTTTTTTATTTGTTATTATTAATAAATTATAATTAATCATTAATAGGATTATATAAAGGGGATTAAGAATAATATAAAAATTGCATTGATAAAAATTCAAGAAAAGATGAATAAGATTCTAAGCTACATTCACAATTATTATAACAAAATTAAAGACTACATTTTTGACTTTTTAAGAATCAACTAAATAATACTTTTGATTTTTTAAAAGAATTCCCTATGAATCCCAATATTAATAAATATCTAATTTTAATATGTTTACAATATTTAATTATACCTATATACACAACCCAAGATAAACTAATAAGATAAAAAAAAAAAAGTATTAAAATTGATATTAAATAGTGAGATCAAATATTTGAATTTTATGATTTTCTATATTCTCAATATGAGAATTCATCATTCATGATTATCAATTCAATACAGTCTTTTTAATTTCAGCTTCTTCTACTTCAGATGGTTCATTTGCTTATATTTCTTTAGAAAGTCCATTCAACTTCTTCTTTAATGCTTCCTTTCCTGCAGCATAAGCCATCTTTTATTTTACTGGTTAATTGGTATCTGGTGACCAGAATATAAAAACCAATTTTTCAATTTGTCTTGGTGGAACGTCATCTGTTTAAGCATGATAATCATATACAGCATATCGAGACTTTTAGATTAAATAATAAATTTACTTCATTTTGAAGATGGCTAACAAATTCAGCGTAAGTACTATCTCTTGCTCCCTTGTGATCAACAACAATCTTAATAATATATAATGATATTTACTTCATTTTTATCTTTATCTAATCTATAAATAACATATCTATATTGTTTGCCTAATTTCAGATTATTGAATTCTGTAACACAATCATCACTAACATTGGTACCTACGTTCATAATTATATCTTAAAATTATATTTAAATTTTTGTTAATTAAATCACATTATTCATTTTTTTATAGGTACTTTCTTAACATTAGGTGATTTAGATCTCATTTAGGTTTAAGGTCTTTGACTCTTCAATAATTAAGGTTTCTTATTAACAATTTATTTATTATTATTAGTATTATTATTATTTAATGTTGTAGTTGTAGTATTTTACATAGTTTTTGCTTTTTTATTAGAAATATCTTTTAATTTAGATGATGGTCTTTAACTACTTCTAGTTGGTGAAACAAAATCAATTTATTCTTTTTATCTTGATGAATCCAAGAAATCAGATCCAGGATTGAATGGAACATGAACTTATTCATGAAGAAAAGCATACTCTGTTGGTTATATAGATTGATGTTTAGAAACTGAAGATTATTATGATTTCTATGAATATCTATGATTTGGAGATTGTGAAATAGTTAAATATTAAAGAGAATTAGCTTATTATGGAATTTATGTAGAATAAAAGGCTTATTATTAACTACTTTGACTTGATTGGAATGATTATAAATTAGTTGGTATTTATGGTTTTTATTGAACTGGTATTTATTATGATGGTGTTTAATTTATAGATGGTGTTTAATTCATACTTCTATTATTTGAATGTAATTTGACAGTTGGTTATGAATTTTTTTATGATAAAAATGGATGAACTTTTTTCATTGATTGAGGTTCTTCATTTTCTTAATTTGATTTTAATTATTATTTTTACAATTAATTTTCTTATTAAAAAAACATTGGATGTTATTACATAGATGTTAATGTTGGATTAGAATCTTTGAAATTACATGATTAGAGTGTAAATTATTAAGATTATTAACATAATAATGGATGCTATTAATTTGATTACATAATAATAAATGATTATGCTTATGATTGTTGTTCTCTTACTAATACTCTTGATTGAATTTCAATTGCATGTTCATTCAAAATATCATTAGGATTATTTGGAATTATGACTTTATTATTGTTGTTCATTGATTATTACATCAATTCTACAATACTTTCCTCATATATCTATAAATAATTTGGTCTATCCTCTGATTTCATTGATAACATTCTACTAACTAATTTATTATTAGCTCTAGATAACATGTCATTAAGAATTTCTAATTATATTTAAAGTACTAAATACCTTAATTTATTTTATATTCTTAAAAATCATAAATTTTTTAAATTTGTTCTTATAAAATAAGTTCTAAACATACCAATCCAATTGTGAAAACTTCACTTTTTTCGTTATTATATTCTGGTTTGAATACTTTCCTTCCCAACTGATAGAATAACTCAGGTGAAAGGTAACAGTATTCTTCAAAACCACTTAAAAATCTATTATATTAATCAACATTAGGTAAAAGCAATTTCACTTGATTTGTATAAAGAAAAGATTGAGGTCTCAAATCTCCATGATATTTATCACGATTCTGCAATTCAATTAAAGTATGAATTATTTATTGTAAAAACTAAAACCAAGGCAAATTAGATGGTAGTTAACTTCCAAATTCAAAGATAGCATCAATTTTAAATAAATTACTACACAATGTTGACTCTTCTTCTTTTTGAATATCTAATAAGCGAATCAAACCTGGCATCTAACTAATTTATTAATATTATTCTAATCTCTTCAATTCTTTTTGATAATGCATTTCACTTTAATAAACTTTATGCACTACAGCAACTTCTTCCATTTAATTAGTATAGACTTCAATTTCACATCCGAAACTAAATGTTCAATTAAATATAATTACATTCTGCTTTCTCTGGAATCAACCTTTTACCAATTTTTCAAAAAGTGTTATTTGGACTGTTAAACTTAACCCATAAATTTAATTAACGATATTTAGTATAAAATTGAATAATAAATATCATCACATTAAAATCATAAATTCCCATTATTCTCTCATACTTCATTTACAATAATAACATAATATCATTAATTTAACAGTTTATAAGTATATTCTTACAATATTTTAGATTCATATCTATTCTGTTTTGAAATTTACTATATATTTATATATCTTCTGATTCTAGTAACAAATTAAAAGTAATTTCCAAAGATTTGATTGATTTACTATGTCATTTTAAGTTACTTTTATTTTTTATATATTTAACATAAATACAAAAAAAAAAACTATTTCTAAAAGGATTATATTAATCTCTTAATCCATTTTATACATAAAGCAAAAACAAAAATAAATTAATAATAAGTATTATATGAATTTTTAACACTATCCACATAAATTCTAATGTTAATAGTATTTTTTATTTAATTAATTCCATATGAGTTCTAAGTTGAATAGCATTTGAATAAGATCAAAAAAAGAGATTTTATTATTACATTGTTACAAATATTAAGGAATGAGAATAAAATTATATTTACATTCTATTAATAAATATATTGTAATTTTTTATGATTGAATCAAATAAGACTGAATCTCTTAGTGTTCATTTCTCTATATCAATAATTTGATCTCTTTTTAAATAGAATCTCTCACATATACCCAAATTCTAAAAATAGTGAAACTTAATAATATAAATCTATAAAATAATTTGAAAATCATTTATTAAATGACGGAATAATGGATGAAAAAGATTAGACAATATTAAAAGTTAATAATCTAATGAAAATTTTATGATTTTGTTATACACTTTTATGATAACCTCAAAGTTTGGCATCTTTTGGTAAAAGATCTGGGGTGAATTTGGTGGCAGCAGCCATATTTCCCTTGATCTTCATCTTTCCTTACATGAAGGCTTATTAAGGATTCAATTTTCCTTGAGCCATAGCCATCATGTCATCATCTACCATTGTGAATGTGGCATCAGCTGTTCCAACACGTCCCTTGGCTATTGACTAAAGTAAATATATATATATTATGCATACTCCTGAACCATTCTTGAGATCAACAGTCCAAACTTCTGGGGTTTCTCCTTTGGCCTTTGAAACTTCAAAGAAATAGATGGCATTGATTTTCTTAACCAATTCAGCACCTTAGGATTTGATGAATGGATCCATCTTTTCAAACAAAGCAGCAGATTTCAAAGCCATTAAAATTATTTAATTATTTATTTAATATACATTTTTCTAATTTTCTTAACATTATATAAACATATCATAAATCATCTTCGTCATCATCTTGACACATATTCATTAATTAATTCATAATGTTAGCTGCTTTTTCCCTTCTCTCCTCATCTGTCATTTTAGAAGTTCTATATAAAATAGATTCAAAATACCTAATTTTGGTCATATCATGCATTAATTGTGCAAATTGATCATCTTCATATTCTAATTGATCAAGACCTTGTGTTTATTTTTCAATCACTTTAGTTTTATTAATGTTTTCTTTCATTTCTTAAATTTTAGGTCTCATATATGTCCAAGTATTACATTCCATAATTTCAATAATTCTAGGAAATCCAAGTGTTTCATCTTCTTAATCAGATAATTATTTAATTTATTATTTAATTGGTGGATTATCTAAATCTAAATAAATTTATTCAACAAAGCTTTCTAATTTTTTCTCCTCATTTTCCAAAAGTTCTAAATTTATTTTTATTCCTTCTTTCCTGTTATAAATAATAGCTTATAGACCAGGTTAGATTTCATTTAAAATTTGATCACATAAATTAATAAACTAATCCAATCCATTCATATTATTAGCATCAACAATAAATAAAACACCATCTACTTTAATTTTTTATAATTATTCCAAAGCATTTTCTAAATTAAAATAATTGTAATTTATTGTATGCAAATCTACATCACATGTATAATATTTGGTATTAATTAAACTATTAAATCGATGGTAATTATTACAGTTAAGTCCCAATCTTTTGATGTTCTTCATCAATCTTATCAAATATTAATTCATCATTATTAAAATGTTTGATTAAATCTAAGATATTATAATAAGATAATACATTATATTAATTTCATTGAATAAGAATGTTCTGGAGCTATTATGATTAGATTGGAATTAGTTTAATCCATTCTTTTTATATATTATATATATATATATATATTTAAATTATTATAAATATTGAGACTATTTGTATGTTTATTAAAATATAGATATATAACATAGAATTCAAACAAGCATTTTAACAACTTATTATGGTTATAATTCGATCATTTCCCAAATATGACCGAATTCATCTGAACTTGGATTTGAATGTGGAGTTAAAGCAAATTAGTAATCCATTGACATGATTCTCTCATCATCTCCATCAACGATTTTAGATCTATCAGTCTATTTTTAATATTTCAACAATATCATACCTTACTAACATAACAAAAGATCTCTTATGTTTTAATAGTAAAAACAAATACTGGTAATTTAACAGAATCAGGTATACTAGCTCTTGTGAATCTAATTTCATCTACATTCCATAATTATTTATGTTTAGGTTCAGATTTCTAATTTAAAAAAGATAATTATACTTCAGCTTCTTATTTTTTTAATAATACTTTAAAATATCCTAAAGCAGCTTCACCACATACTTTTTAAAGAGATTCCAAATCTCCTAATAAATAAAGATTGTATATTTATTCAAAGATCACTTTTGCTTCCTTTTCTAATTCATATAAATCAAAATCTGGATCAATCATTCTCATTTATCTAATAGCTCTTGCAACATCACTTTCATTTGTAACAGTTTTCTAATTTATTTAATTAATTTAATTACTGCTGCATATAAAGAAACTTAAACAAAATTGCTGGGATGATTTTAGATTTTATCAGATAAATCAGCTTTGAATTATTTCATTTCTGCTTTGAATGTTACATATTCCTTAAATGCTTCACTATTTACTATATGTTATCCTTATTCACTTTATTTGAGTCTACTTTAAATCTTTTATGCTATTTTAGATTTAAGTGATGCTTCTTCACTTGTACCTTAATCAGTAGCTTATACAGCATTTCTTTTCCATTCAGGAATTTTTTCTTAAATCTAAATAAATTTTAATTCATACAGCTGCCAATTCTTCTTCAGTCATTTAAGCAAATTTCTCTTCTTCTTTCTTTCTCTCTGCTAACTTTGCCTTAACTGTTTCCATTCTTGCCTTTACTTCATCATCATGACTAGGAAATGTTTTTCTCCATGCTAATTTTGCCATGTTTAAACATGTTTTTCCAATACTTGTCTCCTTATTTTGATTAGCATCTGTTTTAAATTTCACTGCTGATCCTTTCACTTTCTCTGTCAATTTTGTAGCTGAACCAATAGCTGAATCTTTGACAGTATGTAAAATATCTATAACTAATGAGGGTTATTTTTCAATTTCTTCTGTTTTTTTATTTTCACTACAAAATTTATATATAACTCTTCTTTAGTTGTAAATGTTTAATCTTTATAGTCTTTATGCTTATCTAAATGGAATAAACAAGTTGACAAGGGATATCATTAAATATAAAAAATTTAATTTAGGTTAATAAATCACTTAATTTTGGATATCTATAAATTTTTATTATTAAATAATTAACATTTATATATACAAATACTTTTCTATATAAAAAAAAATAAAAACTCAAAAATTAATTTCATTTTCCAGTTAACACATTCAGTTTCATATTGATAAATTGAATATATAAATATCTGATTTTCAATTAGAAAAAATATGGGAATCAATAAAACTTACATTACCTTATAATAATAACTGATATATTATTTTTAAGTATCAGATTGCTATCAATTTAGACATTTAATATTGAATCATTGTTTTAAAGCAAATATTGATTTTTAAAAAAGTATTATATTTTTTTTTGAATACTTCTCTAATACAGTAATAACCATGAAGAAAACAAATATAAGTTATAATCAAAATATTTAATTGATCTTATTTTTCTTTATTATCGCAATCTGAAAGGTATTGTCGATATATTCTAGAAGCTGATTTGATTATGAAATATTATATTTTTTCCCAACCTTATTACATAAATCAGACTGTTATTGATATAGGGATTCCTCCTTCAATTCTTGAATTATATATTCGATTAATTTTTATTCATCTTCAAAGCTTTATTTTTATAAGTTTTATTTCTAATTTTGCGTTTAGTTCTTATCAAATTTTGATGATTCTCTTTTTATTATTGTATGAAATCTATTCTTTAAACAATTTTCTGTTCTTTGATTATTAAAATCTATCCTTGAAATTAATGACCACTTCTTTCCATGATTTAGAATAGCAACCAATAACTTAATTTCCTCTTCTTTGTACCATGGACCCCTAATAAACGTATTAAACATTATTATACTTCTCTACTTATGGATTCAATTTATTTATCCATCGCTCTCTGCATTATTTACCCAATCTCACATGAGATGATTTGCAAATCTTGCTCATTTCCATGGCTATTAAACTCCATTTATTATATCTATTCTATTCTGCATAATTTTCATAAAGCTAACTTAATACTGCATCCTCTTCTCTAGTCCAAGGATGATCTACTATAGAAGTTGCTTAACTCTCCATCCATTTACTCCTGCAAACTTTCCAATGTCTATTGAATAAAATTGATCCTATCTAATCCCAATCAAAAACATCCTAAACTTTACAATTTTATTTACCATTAAAAGAGGTTGAAGCTTTTGGACATCACAATACAATTTAACAATAATATTAAGTAAGTCTATTTCAGATTAATCCATTTTTTTCCATTTTCCAATATTATTCAAATTAAACTCATTATGTGCCTTTTCGATTTCCTTATAAGAATTGAAGATATCAGGCCAATCAGGTATAACAATGTAGGATTATTAAAATATGATATTTTATTGATCTTTTTATTGTAGACTTTGATCAAAAAGTTTCTTTAGTTTTTCTAGCCTTGTAACAAACTTGCAATTTGCTTAAATAGAATCAGTTGTAGAGACTAAACCTTCCATATTTATATTGTTATTTGTTTCATATCAATATAGTTTAAATATCATCCTAAGAAAACGTAATTTAAGTTAAATTGTCTAAAATGTTATTTCTATACAAACAAATAATAATTTATTTAATATTATAAATTGAAGTTTATTAACTCAAGCTCAATATAATGATAGTAACAAAATTAATATGTAATTTTAATTAATATAATTTTGTATATCTAATCAATAAGGACTTAATTTGATTCGCTACAATTAGAAAACAGGAGTAATTAACAAAGTTGGAATAACCTAATATGCTATAACTATATTAATTAGATATTTTAAAAAAAGCTTGTTATAGCATCTATAAAAATGACTTATATAACAATTCATTAGATAATTAAAATTTTTCATTTCATTATGTGATCCTTTCACATTTATTTAATTTTTGGTTAGCTTTCTTAATTTTCAATTTTTTAAAACACATATTACAATAAGAATTGCTTCTTGTTCATACAATAAAAAAATGGTATATAAATATTAATTATGAAAAGTTGTAAACTTATTATTTTTCATAATCTAACTTATTTAATTATAAATTCCAATATATTAATAAATAAAAGAAAATAATTATATACATCTTTTCTATATAAATCTAAAAGTTTAAAGAAAATTTGAAATAAATAGAGAGTTTAAATATTCCTGATCTCTAATACTTAAAAATCTTTTATATTAAATAGTTTTTAATTGGTTTTAAGTAAAATTTTGGAAATTATTGTTAAATAAATCAATTTTTGAATTTATATTTTATTTTTTGATAATTATTAAACAATCTATAGAATTAGACAGACATGATTTTTCTATTTATGATTGTGCATCTTTAATACTTTCTTTGAATGTAGAAATATTAAAATCTAAATTATTTAATTTAAACTGTTATTCCAAATGGATTTGAAAATAGTTATGATTATATATTAAATCAAAAGAGAGAAGGGGGATGAGATAAAGTTAATGATAATTTTAAATATTAAATAAATATAATTTAGATTTAATGATGACAAAAGATTTAAATGAGAATGAATTAATTGATTATTAATATTTTAATGTCTTAAATAAAGTTTAGTTTACGTCTTTAAGTGTAATTTGGACTTGGTGTGTACTTAGCATGTTCTTAAAATAATTGGAATATAGATTAAAGTTGTAGGATGACATGTATTAAAGTAAAGATGTGTTTAAATATATAGAGTAATTTATGGGAACTTGTAATCCAAGTAACAGATAAAGAATTAGATTATAAATATGTGATTGCAGATTATGATAATCCTTTATAACATACTTAAATTTGGGAAAGAGGCAACAACAGAAATTTAATTAAATCAAAATCAAATAAATCACAAACAATAAGTATACTATAATATTTATTAATATCATAGAAGATATTTGGGAGAAACGAAAGATTTCTTTGAAATTAATGGCTTTAAATAAAAATTCTTTGGCAATTGTAATTGGAAGCTTTCCTGCTTTGTCAAGTCCTGTTCAGATGAAATTATTAGATAAGAAATCTGTGATGTATTTTACTACAAAATTTTACATTGACATCATTTATTCTGATTAAGTGATTCAATTTCAATACTATTTGTTAATAAAAGATCCTAGTAATAGTTTCTTTTTGAATTTTAGCTCCTATAGAATTGATTAGTACTCCAATAACTCTAGGCATTTCGGATAGAAATTAAGAAATATGTCAAACAATCTCCTTTTATAGAATCGCTATATGTTGATTATAATATTTATTTATAGATTTTATTTGATATTTTTTTCTATTATATATATATATCACATACTATATCAATAATTTAATTGATATTGATAATAAAAATGATGCAGATTTGAGATTATTATTGTATTGACAATAAGTAGTTTTTTAGATTGTTCTAATTATAAAAGAGTAAATTTAGATACATATTATAAGATTTTATTCCTACAAATTCTAATTAATAATTAGATAAAGCATAAATTAAAAATTTAGCAATAACATTAGTAATACAATGAAATCATCTTAAATCTTTTTTACAATAACTAAACAAGTTAATTATGGAGAGGCAGTTTATATTGTCTTTAATTTCACAAGTTGGAATTTATAACATGCTATTAGGATGGAATGTAAAAAGGTATTGTTAAATTTGATTATTATTAGATTGATCAATGGAGTAAAGAAATTGAGATTACTTGTCTTTAATTTGAATATAAATATGTTATTGGATAGTATGATAACATATTGGAAGGGGAAATTGTATGGGAGAAAGGGCCAAATAGATCTTCAGATAACTTGAAATTATTAGAAATGAATTAGAGTAAATTATAATTTGAAGATGTATGGGAGAAAAGGAATTTGATGTTCTTCTTAATTGATAAAAAGTAAAATAAAAGGAGTAAAAAGAATGAGGAACATTAAATTTTAATATTTGGATAAGTGAAGGCTTTGAATTCACCAGTTAAATTTTCTAATTGTTAATTAAACTAAAAAACTTAATTATACTATGTAAATTTACAACTTGAACCAGAGGAGATTACCAACCCAATTGAGATCCAAATCTATATGCAAGTTCAATTAAATAAAAGTATATTAAATTATAAATTTAAGGTTATATAGAAATAATCTCGAAAAATGTTAAAATTAATTTTAGAAATTTACCTATAAATATATGTGAAGAAATATTACCAGATTCTAAATGTTACCATCTCAAATGATATAAATCTATATTTTCTATATAAATTTTAATATACTTCTATTTATGTTGTCATTATTACCATGATTATTCATAAAATAACAATTCAATTAATTTTATATATTTATATTAATAATTTCTTAAGAAATCATAGAAATTTCATTTTCATCAATACTCTTTTAAATATAGCAATGTAAGATAATATTTAATATTATTATTATTCTTTTTTATATATGAATAATTCAAAATGTATAATAAGAATTTTATTGTTTCTACTGATGAAATTTATTGTTACTCTTATCTTATACAGATACAATCTGAAATTCAAATCATATTCTCTTTCTTAATGAAACTCTTAAATTTATATTATTTAAATAATTATATATATCTAATTATTAAATCATTCATTTATTATTATTAGGTTTATATAAATTAATATAATAAAATTTTCATATTATCAAATCATTCTCATAATTTAAGCAATTTCTTTTGATAAGATTTATAAGGAAGGTGTAACAACACTAATTATGGCTGCAATCATAGCAATAATTATTATGATTATTAACATTTACCAAGGGAACACAAAAATTAATGGTAATTATGTAAATAAGGTTTATTACAATGCCATAGATTATCCTATAACAAATCCAACCATCAATCCAATAAAACTAGAACTAAAAACTAATGTGAATGCCTCCATAATATAAACTATGGTAATAGACATCTTTGTATTTCCAATTGCTCTAAGAACTGAAATTTCCTTAACTTATTCCAACATATTTGCTGACATTGATGTCATAAGACTGAAGAATGACAATACCATAACAACACCTGTTAAGAAACTGAATATAATTTGAATTAGTTTCTGACTTTACTTTATAGATGTTTCATAATCTCTATAATCCCAAATCCTAGCAGAAATTCCTTTGGCATCTATATACTTTTTGAAATAACCATACACAGTGTCAATATTACCTGAATTGGATACAGATATTAATAATCTTTTCATTGGATAATTTTCAACTGCATCTATCAAATTTCCACAAAGTCTTCTAAATGTTGGTAAAGAAACAACAACATTTTATTCTTAAACACTTGGCAAACTACTAAATTTAAGTGCAGGTGCTGAAGTGATAATTGAAGATGCTCTCATTTAATGATATTGACTAAATGTATTATTATATACAATTAGAAGGAATGTACTATCAATATCAATTTTGATATTAAGTTAATCAGCATAACTAGTGCCAATCATAGCACTTTGACTTCCTCTACTTGTATATAATTATTCAACTGGATTCAATTTACTATTAATTTGATCCTCAATTTTTAGAAATTAGTTATATCCCATATCAAATAGAGTATGTGATACACCAACAATCTTAGGTCTGAGTTGATAAACTTATCCTAAATGAGTCATATATGCAGTTGAAAATCCTAATTTTTACATATAACTATCCAAAGAATCAGTAACCCATGCAAAACTAGTTATATTTGATCCTAATTCTGATATAATATTTTCGAATTCAAATGGCGAAAGATATCCATTAGATCCAGTAATTTCAAGTTTACAACCATGTTATTAAAGAGTCAAAGTGGCTTAATTTTCAATCTGAACACTCATCCCAACAAAAATAAAAATTACAAAGGCAATTGACAAAGCATACATTAAAGCTGTTCTTCTATTTTTTATCTAATTAATAGATAAATATGTATACTCTATGTGCAGCAAGATTCTTTAATACCATCGTTTTTTTTGCTGAACTAGCCCAAAATAAGAATAGATAGACAGTAAAACGTTCAGCAAGGTATTATATATTGAATGCAAATATTACCAATCCTAATAACATACCACATAAAATGAAAAAGAATATAGACAACAGCAATCCAATATTAAATGACAATAAAGCTAAAGGTAAAAAGTAATAAACACAAATCCCAAACAATGAAGCAATAGCAGCAAATTAGATTCTACCCCAAGGTAATGATTTACCTTCAAGATCTACCTCTATTTTCACTGCAGTTGATTTTGATCTGTTAATATCCAATGCAAAACTCAATTACTTACTTAATGCTTCTTTTATTGGAACATAAGAACTTAGTAAAGGAATTAACAATCCCAATCCTAGTGACATGAATACTGCATTTGTTGTTGGAGTTGCTTCTATCTCAACTCCAATTGAAGCTTTAAGTGCACTACTAGCATATAATAAGAATGGTATTGAAAGTATAATACCAGCAACCATAGCAGGTAAGACATAACTTAAAGCTTGAGTCAATACAATAAACACAACTCCCAATTTATTAAAACCTAATACTCTCAACACTCCCAGATCATAAGTCTTTGTCTCTACTGAAATCAATAACAATGTATATAATAGTAATACACTTAATAAAAACAATATCACAATGATCATATTTAATATAATACCCAAAAACAATTAACCAAATCTACTATCATATAATTATTATAAAACAGGCAAATCCATATTGCATGGATAAACCCCTAAATCTCTTCTTATATTACTAGCATATTTAGTTATCTTCCCTTATATATTCTCATAATTGCTATCCATATATATATTGAATCTATCAGGTATGTTGATTCTGATTTCATCTACAAAATTTTCAGGATTAGCAGTATACATAGCCTTTAAAAATGGTTTATCCCATGACCAATATGCAAGATTATTAAAGAAATATTTATGTTCTACAATTATTAATTTATCAGCATCTCCATCTGGAAATTTACCATATGTTGAATCCAATAAACCTTTAACTTAATATAAGTAAAATCTTTAAGTAGCCTTTTTCAATTCCCCAAATTCCAAATTTAAAAATGTATCATTGTAATTAGTTAAATTAAATTATCTACCTTATTATTCAAAGTAATTCTCAATATAATATGATCCATAAAAATCATAGAATTCTCCATAAATTAACATATAATCTCCTACCTTCAAACGATATGTTTCTGCTAATTTCCTACTCATTATTACTTCTGTTTCTTTTAATTCATCAAAAGGATATTCCCAACCTAATCCAATCTCCTCCTCTTTCTTAGAATCTATAGCCACAAATTTAGCTGTTGGATGTGGTTATGATCCTCCGCATTTCTAACCCAATTATTGTCCATCTCTTAAATCATTAAAATGAGCTTCACTTCCAAATTCCTATCTTTTAGATAACAATTATTAGGCTTTATTTACTGACTAATGATAAAATTATCAATATGTACATTCTCACAATCTCCTGTTTTTTATAAATATGTGAAATTGACTTATTATTCAATTCTAGGACTTGCTTAATTTGCCCTCTCTGGTCCCAATACTTCTTTAACTCTAGTAAAGTTTAGAAAGTCAACAATAAGATTTCCTTATTGTCTAGCAGTGTTACTATATATAGACATTAAATATTGAGGAGACTTTTCATGTTCTTCACTTAAATAGTTCGGATTTGCAATCAACCTAATCTTAAAATTCTGATTACACTATATCTGATTATCCAGCTGGACCTTCAGCTGATTTTAGAAATATAAGAGGTGCTCTATCAATTATAGATTAACTCACTGCACTTGCAGCAACCACAATCAATACACTAAAAAACGATACACAATATCCACAAGGTCTTCTTTTTAATTCATACCATGATTATCCTATCATGAATAATAAAGATGAACAAATAGACATTGAAGTACCTTAAGGAACCATAGAGTCTTTTCTCTAAATAGTTTAAGGTTGCATTTATTATAAATTATTAATAATAGTAAATTTAATGAATAGAATACTAATCTAATTATCAAAATCAGTCATCATATTACTCAGCTCTAAATAATTAGTTTATTCCTTATATTCTCCATTAAGTTTAAAATACTGTTGCATCATTTGAATAGTTATTACTAAAAGACCATATACTTGATGTACGTCGAACTAAAACTTCATACCATCCATCTCTTACATGCAGAAACTTAAATTGCATAAGAGTATCAATAGGTAAAGAAAATTGATTTAGAAATTAATTATCATCCAAACTTTTTTAATCTATACCTATATATAAATCAGTAGAGAATATTTGTATTGTATAGTAGCCATGTTCTATATGTTTAAATTTAAATAAGCAATCATTATTCTAATTTGTTTGTTCATCTAAATGTTTAATCATAACTTACTTAGACGTAAAAAAGAGGAAAAACATAGAGTTCCCTTTTTATTTTTTATCTAATAGAGTTTCAACTCATCGAAGTTGAAAACTTTGCTGGGTTAATCTAGAGGTCCGCAAATATTGTTTTATTTAGATAATGCATCTCCAAAAGATTTTGGAATATGAATAAAAAGGAGATATAATAAAATAGAGGATATTTAAACAAACATTCTATTTAATTATAATATTTCTATAATTTGTATATTTTAATGAGTACATTGGCAGCTGCAAGAGCAGACAATTTTTACTTTGGACCAAATTATGATCCCAATGGAGTAATATATCAATTCTAAAATAGGGAAGTCTGAAATATTAGAGAAGAATGAAACTTAAAGGGAAGAGAAAACCATCAAGATTAGATTAATATAAAATAAAAAGTGGTCCTAAGATAAGATTTGAAACTCCATTTCATGTTAAATGCTTAAAATGTGGTCATATGATAGCCAAAGGTGTTAGATTTAATGCAGCCAAAAGAGAAGGTATATGATTATAAATTACATTATTTAGTTGGTAAATTTCATAGTACAACAATATTGTAATTTTCAATGTTATGTCCTTCTTGTAAAAATACAATAGTTTGTAAGACTGACCCTGAAAATTGTGATTATAATTATATTGAAGGAGCAGTAAAATGGGTAGATTATAATTATATATATATGAATATAGTTAAGTACAGAGAAGGCAACAGATATGGAATTCATTCCTGATCCTGAGTAGAAAATAAAAGAGTAATCAAATGCAATGTTTAAATTGGAGGTAGAAGTTGAAAAAGTTAAAAAAAATAATTTGGCTCCAGTATTAGAAGATTTATAAAAATATCGTTTAGTATTAAATAAAATAGATATGAAAGGAAAATTGGAAGGATGATTTTGAAAAGAATTTGATGTTAAGAAAGAAATTTAGGGAAGAAAAATAAAAATATGCATAAATAGAAGAAGAAAAAAATAGAGTTAAAAATTTTGGTTTACCTTTGGAAGATTTAACAAAGTCTGAGATTGTAAATATGAGCATATAAAAAATGTTAGAGAGATATTAAGGATGTTAAATTTCATGAATCAAATAGTAGAAAATAATAGAGAGAAAAAAGATAAGAAATTATGAATCAAAGTATATTACCTAGTGGTAGAATGAATTCGTAATAACAAAAATAATTAGAGGAATTGAATAAGAAATTAAGTCAAATGCCTGCTGCTACTAGAAAAATAATCAAATAGTAATTAATGCCAAAAAGAAACACTATTAAATTTTGAAGATTAATTAATAATTAAATTTATTATATATTTATTATACATCTATGAATAAGAATCGCCATAGTTCTATGCATAAGATCTTAGGTCCTCCTTAAATAGTTATGTTTGATGGAGAAGAATCAAGATTCCAAAAAAGGATATTTAGAGGTTTCAAGTTCTGTATTATTAAGAGCATTCAACTGATAAAATTAAATTTTGTTGGGAATAGTCTCCAATTAATAAGACAAATGATTTCAACTTTCAAAAAATCAATTATGTAAATCAATAGGATATGGATATTCATGTCCGTAATAGTTATTAGCTACCATAATTACATAAGCGTAAAAATCTATTAAATAACGAATGTTTTGTAGTATCTCCATAATTAACTGTTGGTTTATTAATCATATATATATTTAGAATCTGAATAAAAATTTGGGAAATATGCTAAACGATATACTTAAGACTCAGACTTATTTTCACTTAAAATTCCTATTGATAAATAATATTCTCAACACTCATCAGCATATGGACAGTTTCATTTTTAACCAGAATATACACTCACTAAAACTAAACCTGTTCTCAAATATCATACATCAAAAAGTCAAATTCTTGGTAACTCAAGACTATAATACATTAAATTAAGGTAAGAATAGGTTTGATCCTTTAATATTATAAATAAATAATTAAATATATATTTTATTAAGTTCTTAAGGTTTTTCAGATAATTAATTAAATGAAAATAAAATTTAAATCTTTGATTTCACATGATACAATTATTATCATTTAATATTCATTTTTCTTCATTTTTATCATAAAATATCCTTTAATCAAATTACAATTTATTATAATGTCCTTTATAGATAGCATTTCCTATATATAAAATATCTTCTAAGTGTTTGTAATTGATTTTATCCTCAAAATATTTATTCAATCATAAAAAATAAGAAAAAACTAAGTTCATTTACATTTTAACTAAAAACATAAACAAATTATTCAAAATCAAGAGCAAGGACCTGATCTTCTCCTCTTTAACAGAGTACTTTCTTTGAGAGAAAATAAAATGGGAACTTTTCTTTTTTAGTTGTATAATTTATCAAAGACAACTACATATCGTTTCAATTTGTCCTATTGATGTAGTTAAACATTAACATTTCGTTTGACTTAGTCTCTATGTTATTAATCAATTGCAGCTTATTGTGGGTTATTTAGAAGCTCATCCGTTACGAGCAAATCGACTTCACTTTATTATGAATCGTGCTCTGGTGATTTTTCTATTATCTCATTGTCGTCTAGTTTACTAATAACTGGAAGAAGAGATTATTAATTGCTAATTGTGAGGTCTTAAGGTTATTGAGTTTTTTATTATGTTTTTTTTGAATGACAAACTCCCATTATGAAAGTAAGGAGACTTCTAATTAATTAAATTATTTTTCAATATATCCGATGTGGGTTGTTTATAATACTAATATAAAAAAAAAGATACAGTTTCATAATCAATTTATCCCACTCTTTAAACCTCTAAATCGCTTATAGAACATTCCATAAATGGAGCTTTTCCTCTGCAATATAAGGTCATAATTAGATATAAATCTGATTATTAAACCTAAAACTAATTGAACTCAATGAAAATACTAATCTTACTCGTTTCTCTGTTAATTCTCAATTAGGCTTAAATTTTGTCTCAATAATAAGATAAAGAAAACTAACTTATCTTAAGTTTAGAGAACTTAGAAAATGAGGCTGTCATAAATTTCTAAAATTAGAATGTAAATATTAGTTTTATCTCAGGGTTAATTTGTCGATTAAGTATTCTGTCAGAGAAGTAAATGTGAATGCATATTTACATAATCCAATATTTCAGAGGAATAAATTGAAATTTTGGAATGCAATGAGAACAAATTAATAATTCAAAGAAACAATTCAGAACTTATAGCTAGTTTGGGTTCATCTCCATAAAGAAGGATGTTAGAAGCATACTCAGATAATGATATGACAGATTCAAAAATAATAGATTCAAGATTAACAATCAAATGGAAATTCAACACTGATGGTACTATAGAATTTGCAACAATTTGGAATAAGAAGACCTGGTTAGGAATAGGATTTGGATCAAGTGTAAGTTTACTCTCTAGATTTATAGATGACTAACGTTGATATGATCACTCTTAATATATCTGGAAGCACAGTTGAATTGTTAGACTTATATTCAACATCTGCAAACACTCCTCCTACAGACTCTCAATAAGACTATATATTAATTTCGTATGAAGTAGGAACTGCTTCAGTTAAAGCAAGATTCAAGAGAAAACTCTCTACTGGAGACTCCAAAGACAAAACCCTTACAAAAGGAAGTACATACAATTGGTGTTATGCTTATTCAAGTGCTTTAAGTATCCTTATTAATCTTATCATTTAGCAATGGAAAGACATACTGTTAATTTAGGATTTTCAATCACTCTTAGTGATAGTGGAACTACATCTACTGGATCAACAGGAAGTGATTCTACATCTACAGGAAGTGGTTCTACATCAACAGGTAGCGGTTCTACTTCAACAGGAAGTGGTTCTACATCAACAGGAAGTGGTTCATCTGACACTACAACTGGCTCTAATGATTCTGATAGTGAGAATGATAATGAAAATTCAGAAAATGAAGATTCCGACTCCGATTCAGATTCTGATTCAGATTCAGATACCACAATTACATCTAGGACTTCATTCCAAATCTAATTAGGCATACTTTGCATGATTTAAATAATTATATTTTGAGTTATTTAGAAATAGATTTATATATGAAAATAGATATCACCTTTTTAATAAATTTTCTTTTTGAATTTAAAAACTCTATTGTTGCATATTTAAAACTTAGTGAATATTGTAAGTTCTATTTAATGGATTATATTTATTATTAGAACATCTTTCAAAGCTTTGTTCTTTTTTATCAAATATTTCTAAGATAGTTTCTTTCCATCTACTCTTTTGATTTGATCTTTATTACGAAATTGAGCTTTCTTTAAGTCTACTCTTTTTATCACTTTCATTTATTTTATTCCAAATTTCATTGGTTCTGTCATTCTTAACAGGACTGAACTTCTGTTAAAAAGTAATCATTTTGGAATCTGAAGTTAATCTCTCTTCTATCTATTAGGTAAGAGATTGAATACGAATCAACTATCTTTGGGACGACAAAAGTGAGGATTTCTATTCATTCACACATAATTTACTATTTACAGAGATTAAGATGGAGCAGTCATAATTTTTTCAATTTCAATTAAGAATTTACTCAGATCTTCAGGAATTCCCTTTAAGTTCCTTAATTCTTCTTAATACTTAGCCATCAATTAAATTTAAGATTCCTTAATATATTCTTATAAATTACATATTCATTCTCTTATTTTTAGATTTCTAATAATTACTAGGTTTCAAGTGCATTAACTTCATTAATAAGACTATTTTTTTTTTATTCCAAAGCAATGATTTACTAATTACATAGTTACAGATGAAATTACTTTCTAAAATTCTTGACTAATCTCATCTCTTGTAGATTAACACTTCTATTAAAATTGAAATTTTTGATCTTATATGTCTCTAATAGATTCAAATTTATTTTTGAAACTTTTATCCAATCTCTCCAAATATAGTTGTACTCTTTCATTCAAAGCAGGAGCCATATCAATTTTACCTATAAGGGATTCCTTATTTTTCTTAATATCCTTAATTTCAGTGGTCTCCTTTGTTTAGTCTACTTTTTGAAATTATAAATTGTTTGCATATTTATCTTTTTTTTATTCAAATTTTTCATCATTAATTAATTCATTTGCTAAGTTAGCCTTAGATTCTCTAATTGTTTCAGATTATTTTAGATCAAATTCATTATCCAAATTATGCTCTTCTTAATTTTATTCAATAAGTGGAATGATGATTTCCTTAATCACATATTGAATGGCTTCAATAGTATCTGGATCAAGATGGGTTTCATATTGACACTTTGAACATATAGCTACTTTCATAATATCTTGAGATTCTTGGTTCTGTTGTTGAGATTGTAAATAATTGTAAGCTAAACAAACGAGACAGAATTTATGATCACAATCTAATTTGACATAATTATCAGGAGTTGTTTGACATTAAGAGCAGGCAACTTCAAAGTTAGTGTCGCTGTCTTGTGTTTCATTCATTTTTAAATTTAATATATATAAAATATGAAAGCATTAACTCATAATTTAACATCCCTATATATATTAGCTCATATAAATACTCTAAAGTTCTAACAAGAACAATGTTTTCTCCCTTTAAAAGGATTTTCCCTAATTCCTTTGTTGCCTTTGTCTTGCGATCATATTCAACAGCTCTATCTAACACCAAATTCAAATATTCGTCAAAACCCTAAAAAGGTAGAAGCTCAAATAAATTACTGCCAATTTTCCTTGAATACGAAGATTGTCATTTTCCACTAGCCAAATCTCCAATTAAGTTTTCTCTGTAAATAATGTGAAGAAGGCATGGAGTGGTTGTGTTATTTTCTTTTATGGCTTTCTTTAATACGGGGGATGTTGCATATCTTAATTTAATTAATTAAAATGGCTTCAGCTTTTCCTAAATTACCTGGTTTTGTACCTACACAAGAATTAGATGTATAATACCAATTTATATTCATTAGAAACCCAACTTCAGAAAGGTCTCAGCTGTTAAACAAGAATAAAATAGAGAAATCGTAACAAATTGAAATTCTAATCTTTTTATTATAGAAACAACTGCCAAATAAAGAATATCCTGTACCTCGTAAATAACCAATACAAGTGCCATCATAAACAGGAATGTTCAACCCTGATTATTTAAGCACAACTCATGCTATGCATTTGCCAAAGGTATACAATCTAATCAGTTACATCATTAAGAATTCAAACAATGATTCAGAGGAGCTCTACCAACCAAGTTGGGTTAAGATGGATAGACATGTTCTAAGATTTAGTGGCTTCTTCAAAGAGGCTGTTGTTGAGTCAGCCCTAGAAAATTACAGAATTCGCAAATTAACAATATTTTACTATTTGGAAGACCATTCAATAAGCATTACAGAACCTAAACAAGAAAATAGTGGTGTTCCTTAGGGAGCATTCCTTAAAAGATAGAAAGTAAAAACCTCTCGTTAATGATGCTTAAGGTTTTAAGAGCTGATGGCTCAAAAACATTCATTATACCAGAAGACTTTAGAATCAATTAAGATATTGAGATATTTGGCAAAACCATAAGACTTTATGATTGTGATCAATATACAAGAGAATTCTATGAGGTTTCATTCTAATTTTAAATTTCTTATAGGGTATTGGATAACCACAAGAGCAATCATTCACACCATAATCAGATTAATTTGAAACAAAGACTATGACTAAGTATATCCCTTAGAAAGACACAGTGATGAAAGATTACTTAGAACATAAATTAGGAGGAGGAAAAGTTACATCTCAAAAGCAATTCTTAGAAAATGATAGGAAAGTATTATGTTTCTACATTACTAAAAGGTTTTAAAATTCTATGTATTCTCTGATATTGAATATGTCTTGCATTACTATTTAGCTGATGATACTATTGAAATAAAGGAAATTAATTCTGCAAATTCAGGAAGAGTTCCATTTCCAATGATGTTGAGAAGATAGAAGTTACCACGAAAATTCTCACTAAATTAACCTGGATAAACATATGCTGAAGATTTCATTAGACCATAAGACATTCAATTTGGATAACCATTAATTATTTATAACAGAAAATTTACTATTCAAGGTTGTGATCCCTTTACAAGACATTATTATTAAGAAAAGTTTGATGTTGATTTTCCTTTGGGTGGTTAGGAAGAATAATAAATAGAATAAAGATCAAGTATTTTTATAATTAATAATATTATTAATTAGACATTATAATACCTCCTCATAATGGTATTGGTGATGAATAAGATTCATTAGGATATATTTATAGATTATAACCTAAACCACCCAAGAAGGATTTCTTTAAATGGGTTGATAATTAAGTAAATCTAAGATTTTTGGCCATGTTCAATACTACAAAACCTGAGGATAAAGACAGGTTATTATATTTAATTTATTATTAGAGTTTTTGTAATTACTTATTTTTTAAATGATGATAGTCTTTTAATATATGAACCAACTGTTAGAAATTCTGGTATATTTCAAAATTATTAATTTTATTAGGTATTCCAGATGGTAAATTTTTGGAGAAAAGAAAATATAAAAACGCATATAATAATAATGAGTTTTTCTCACCTAAAGATTTGATTGTAGGAAATGAAGTTATGATTAATGGATGGAAGTTTTAATTACTGGATTGTGATGAATTCACTAAAAAATGGTATGCTGATAATTTTAAATGACATTGATCTATATATATAAAAATAATAATTAAATTAAATATTAAGCTAATGGGTAATGGTTAGTGTTAGTAAACAAATCTAAAAAGTGAAGTCAATATGATTATCACTGAAGAAAATGTCCATTCGGATGAATCTGAACATAATCTTACATCAAAGATAACAGATAGAGTTTATAAAGTTAATTTTGTTAGAAATGAACTAATGCAAAGATTATAATCAATAAATCAAGAAACGTAAAAATTTCAAAATATTACAAAGAATAGTCTATTATATATCACAGAACTAATCTTATAATTGAATAAGTATACTGTTGGATAATTAAAAACTATGATGATTGGAGCACATAAAACATATTAAATTTTAATATAAGCTATAATTAAAATGAAACCTGAAAATACAGAAATAATTCCTGTTTTGAGTGAAGAATATAATAATTTTAAACTTTTCTATGAATTATAAACATAACCAGCTTAATAATTGTATTATAGACCTGTTTATAATGAAAATTATGAAATTGTTAGAGAAATTAGAGTCAAAAGAATAAGAAATTATGTAATCAAAGAAGATAATGTAACAGATTTATAAAAAACATAATAAAGATTATAATATTGGATATAATTAAGTTAAAAAAAACATCCTAATTTATTAAATCTAAGGGCAGCAGTAATTCAAAAAGATGTATGCAAATATGTTACTGATTATATTGATGGGATAACATTAGAAAAATTACAAAATAAAAATATTTAAAATAAAGACAAAATAAAAATAATGCAATAAATGGTGGATTCTTTAAGGATGTTGCATTCCTAATAATTGGTTCATGGGGATATTAAACCTTCAAATTTTATGATTACTCCACAATATCAAGTAGTTTTATTGGATCTCGATTAATTAGGAGCAGAGAGACAATCTGCTGATATGACATATTTATATTCATTTAAGGATGATCAATGCCCTACATTTTAAGGAGATGTATGGTCTCTTGGATTATGTATCTATTCATTGTTTTTTGGTCAAAGAATAGAAAAAAATTGGACTATTGATGATTATAAGGGAAGAGATTTTCCTGCTTTTAATATTAGATCTTATGGTCCTATTTAATAAATTCTAGATGCTTGTCTCATTGATAGTCCAAAAGATATCTGGTACATAAGTACTTTAAGTAAGTAATTATGAAATATAAATAATTATCATAAAAAAAAAGTTAAACTACTAAATTAATATGTATATTTTTAAATAATATGTTATGAATATAGAATCAATCATCTTCAGGTTGAACATCAAATATGCTTTTTTAAGGATTTCCAAATTATTATTTATATTCTTCAGATGCACATGTTTATGCTAAAAGGATAAGTAATCTCTCTAATTTAATATGTAATGGTTATTATTAACGTTATTCCCAACTCATATCTGGAGCAGCAGGTAATGATACCTTTTCAGCAATTCTAGCTATAGCTTCCATAAATTCTACAAAAGTCATTTAAAAGATTCTATCACTTTCTAATTCATCTATTTATAACATCATTGATAAATTAAATGCCTATTTATATAAATTAATTTGAATACTAAATCTGCATCTCTATCAACAAATTTTTCATCGAATAATCCTGCTTATCCACAAATTTCATGTAATTCATCGAGACACATAAATTTCTTCTATCCTGGTTTAACTTTTTTTATGCTGTATCTATTATACACATAATTTAATAAAGTTTTGTAATATTTTAAACAATCATCACATTATTCATTAAAGTATCTTTCATCTCTCCATTTTTATGCATTATATTATTACATTGTAGGTCTACATTGATCTAAAATCATTTATACAGAATCAACCATATTATTTGCTTATTTTTATTTCAAATATTTATCATCTGATACTCTCACTAAGAATTCCATAAATTAATATCTACATAATGCTCTTTCTGGATTTCTATAATTTCCTTTATATTCAATTGAGGCAGCACAAGTTGCAATAAATTTAAGATCTAAATCTGATAGTTTAAATGTTTTATTATCTACTAATTCTGTTGTAGAAGAAAAATCTGTAATTACATTTGATGATATAGACCAAACATCTCCAGATGGATTATATGATGAATACCATTTATATGTTTCTTTTATCATTTTATAATCTTTCCATAATAAATTTTTAACTTCATTAAATTCATCTGGATTTTTTACAACTTTTGATATTTTACTACAACTCCAATCTTTTTCAAAACATTTCCTTAAGAATTCTTCATTTTCAAAACGAAAATCCTTAAACCAAATCGAAATTGGAAAGGACCAAATTCTTTTTTATTTCTTTAATTTAGGTGGTATATAAATAGGATCTGGAGTTCTTGGAAGTACAGAAGTAAGTGCTTTCATTTCTTTTTTATCCATTAATTAAAAATGTTTTAATTTCTTTACAACATTAATATTATCTAATTAACAACTCACATTAATTCCATTAACTTTAAGTTTTATAACATGACCAAATTTAATATTATCATAATTTACAGCTGTTGTTTAATTATCTATTACTGTAAATAGAAATTAAGTTTATCCAGTAGGAATCATTAATGATAATTTATAAGTACCATCATTTCTTTTTGGAATGTAGACTTACTTATATTCTTCAAAATTCATATGTAAAAATAATGGATCACATTCTCCATCTGGAATCCAATCAAATACTTATTCTTACCATCCTTCACAAATCCAACAAACATCTTCATGTCTTAAAGTTGTTACTTATTCTAATCCTTTAATTCTTAATGTTTCACCTAATACTTTTTATTATGCATTCTCATCAATAATTAAAAATCCTCTTGGATCTACAACTCCCCAATTACCTGCAAAATGAAATCCATACATAGTTCTATTTGGTTTCAAACTGGTAGCAATTAATTTACAATCCTATAATGTGAATTAATTAGCTGATAAATCACAATGTAACATAACTTTATTTTGACTTAAAAACTCACATACCTTTTAAGTACAATTAGATTTTTCACTAATTCCAAAACCATTCCAACTTCCATCAAAAACAATCATATTCTTATTTTCTATTAATGCTTCAAAGATTTTCTATCCTCCAGATCCTTTTATTTAATTCTATATTATTAATCATATATATATATATACCCAGTGAATATAAAGTTCTTCTAAAAGATCTAATTACAAAATAATTTCCTTCATTAAATCACAGATTTCATTTGTTAGGAAATTTTTTGATATATTTAGTACTTTTACTTTATTTTGTGTATTTAATAAACATTTCAAAATTTTCATTACAAATTTATCTCCAAGTTTGTTATCTTCAATATTAATAACTTCCATCCTTTATTTATAAAAAATTTTTACTTATTTTCTCTCATTTACAACTATTGACATAAACAATCAACACCCATCTATCCAATGTCATTTTTAGATAAATCTATTACTGTTGCTTATTTTCCAATTTAATTCAATATTGTAACTGCACCATCTTATTTAATTCTGTTATTGCTTAACAAAAATTCCTTAATTCCTTAATTCTGACGCAAGCCTTCAGATAATACACTTATATATTTATCACCATAATGATGATTATTAATTGATACTTATGATTCATTACCATTTAATTTAATGAGTCCTAATTTACAAGGCAACACATCTAATGATTCTGCTTATTTAAGCATCTAGGTTTATATTGAATCATTAATTTTATGATAATCATTTTATTGTTTCACTTTATTAAGTACTTTATAATGTTAAAAGTAACTGCGGGCAGATTAAGATCCTACTAATTATTTTGGTATTTAATCTTCTAATTTTTGTTCTGGCGATTCTTATAACTATCTCATAATATCTTTATCAGTTAATTTATCCTCCTCTTTTTTTATTGGTTGCAAAACACTAAAACGATCTACTCTTTAAAACATTTATCTTTTTCCTGCAGGACTGTATAATTAAGGAAAAGGTGAAGCTGCATTTAATTTTATCATTACTGTTCAAATCAGATGGGTTTCCAACAGACATAGCTTTTGAGTAATCCTCAACAGTCTTATCACTGAATTGCAAACTAGCAATCTTACGTTTTGACCCTTAAATTGAAAACTTATTTGATAATCCAACATGCATTTTTATATAAAATATATAAAATAATAATCAAATAAATAACTAAAAATACTAATTTTATGCTTAACAATCTCAAATCTCTATAACACTTTATTATTATAGAGTAAAAATAGCAAAAGATTCAATTAAAAAATATCAATTTGTTATTTTATTGATGATTATATCTAATACTTCATATTATATTCAATCATCATTAAATTAAATTAATATTAAGTTTATTTATAGTATAATAATCAATCACCAACTATTTTTAATTTTATTTTTGCAATAATATTAACCTATTTTTATTAAAAGATCTTTATATTTTAACATAACAATTGATTCAAAGATAAATAGATTACTGTAAGGTTGAAACTTCATATTTTATGTATTTAAGTATCTCTTAAGATTATCCATTTATTTAACTAATAGTAATTCTTTAAAAAATATTTTTGTAATTATCTATAGTATTTTAAGAAATAATTTTCAAAATTTATTATTGTTGCATATTATAAAAGAACTAATCATTATTATAAATGACAATTAATCTCAAAATAAAAAGATTTGGTTTAATTTTTTATTCTTGATGGGATTGATAATTCGTAATTATTATTAATTTAGAAATGAGTCTCAAAATATCTGAATTGCATTAAATATAAAAAGAACAATTGGAGTAGATCGCTAGTTAATAAGTTGAAAAATCACAAAATAAAGATAATACAATTGAAATTGGGAATTAAGTGGATATTTAGGTGTTCATGGAAAAGGATCAATAAAGATTGGATGAGGATGGACTTTTTTTTTATAATCAAGTAGATGAAGGAGATTCTTGAAAATAGCCTAACAATTCCCAACAACTAAATAACTTATGGGGATGAATTTGGTTTTTATTATACATCTCTTTATTTATATTGATATTTAAAACATTTTGTATTCTTTATATATGATCTGAAAAAATAAGTTAATTGAAAAAAAAATACTCTAATGGCTACATCTTTTTCTAAATATCAATTTCCCTATATTTCAGTTGTAGATTATGTGATGGAATAAAATGGAGGATTAAATATAAATTTAATAAATAATTATAGATAAGGGAGCTATCATTTGTAAAAGGAAAGAACAAGCAATGATTTTTATAAATACTTAAACAAACCCTCGTATAATAAAGAATTTTCAATTACTGGAGAAAACTTTTAGTTATGTAGTTAATATAAAAATAATAAGCAAATTTACATAAAAATATTAATATTATTTATAATAATGAATAGACGACAAAATGGATAGGATGAAAATTTAAGTTGGATTTTGAAGTATACGAATGAATTTGAATAAGAACATATTGAGAGCTAACATATGCATGTATTAAAGTAGGAATAATTTGGATAATTGAAATAATCAGATGAGATTTTGAGTGCTTAACTGTTTACTTTTTGGAATGGTAATTTAGAAAATAGTAAATTTATATTAATGCCTAATCTGTTAATAAAAGTAACATAATAAAATGGTATGTTGATGCCTCCTTAATAATAATTTAATTTAGGGGGTGGAGCATTTTATTTATCATTATCAGAATGCACAATTACTTAAAAAATGATAGCTCATAAATCATAATAAGCTTTTGGAATGATGTTATCAAATTCAATAGGAACAACTTATTTATTTTTTTCTAATTTTGTGACATTTCGAACATGGTACAAACAAATGAAATAATTTTGTAAGCTCACAGGATTCTTAGAGAAATATAAATTAGGTGAAAAAATTTTACCTGGATTTTACACTTGTACAAAAAAAAAGAAAAAGACTTAATATACATGTTAAATCTATAAAACAGATGATTTTGAATAATGTAAAGAATTAGAAGATGCTGTTTATAATGAGATATAAATTTTAAGAAGCATTAGACATTAATCATTATTAGAATTAAAGAGAGTTTATGAAAATAGTAAATATCTATTTATTGTTTATGAATATTATAAGGGAGAGACCTTATTTAATCTTTTGAATTCAAATCTTTAACTTCATGAAGTTTAAATTGCATCTGTATATAATTCCAATTTTAAAATAGATAATATATCAAATCTTATCAGTTGTGAAATTCCTTAATCAGCATTAATTTTATCATGGTAGCATTAACCCTTAAAATATATTAATTAATACTCAACATTAAATGTTACAAATTACATTAATCAATTTATCATTTAAAGAGTATAAAGTTAATGATAAATTGGATTGGATATTAAATAGAGCAGTAGAATCATTTTTGGCTCCTGAAATATTTGAAGGAATAGCACCAAATATAGCTACAGATATATATGCTTTAGGATGTGTATTATATTTTATGACATATTATGATCCTAAAAAATATGAAGTATGTGTTTGATATTTTATTTTTAATTTTTAGTTAACAAATGAAGAAAAGGATTTCTATACAGTTATGGATAGTTTTGAAATTTAGACAAATCGTATTGATGAAAGTGAATAAAAATTAAAAGTTGGTTTCTAATAAAATTAATCCAAGAGCAATGTTAGTTCATCCTAATTGGATTTACTAAGGAAAATGTTAGAATAAGATTCAAGTAAGTTCATAAATATATAAGATAAAAGATTGACAATAAAAGATGCAACTAAACATCATTGGTTTGTTAATGTCAAAAGTAAGATAAAATCATTGAAAGTGGAAAGAAAAAGAAAAAAACCACTGCCTAGTCTTAGAACTATTATTGAATTGAGAGAAATGAGTGAAATGGATGTTAGAATGACTATCATTCAATAATAATAAAGTGGATTAAATGCAATCAATCATATGAATTCAAAACTTTAAACTACACCATCCAACACAAAACGTACTTTAGTATATACTCAACAACCATCAAAATTAAGTTAATATGCTGGTAAAAATGAATTTGATGATGATTATGAAAGTATAATTTGAATTTAATTAGTCCCTGATGAAGATCTTTAATTAGAAGTTCCTGTTATAAATTACAAAAGAGAACCAAAACGAAAACCGTCAAATATAAGACTGCTATGAAAATTTTAATAACTATATAGAAATTAATAAAATGAATATTCCTTTACCACAAGTCAAACCAATTGCTCAAGATAACTCAAAATTACAGAGTGAAATTATCGGACTCTTCAAGTCAGGAGATCTTAAATGGAACACGGGTGGAACCATCGCAGAAAAAAAAGAAGGACTCAATCTAGTTGTATAAGGTTTAAGAAAAATGGCATTGTGGATTGAAAGTATCTTTTCTCTATTCTATCATTAAAGGAGAATACGATGTAGAAAAGAAGAAATCATTACAACTTTAATATGATTCAAGAATGGATGAAACATCTAAAAGATTATAAACTTTATAAAAATATGAAAAAGGTGAAGTAGTTTAAGAATCTAATGGAAATGGAGGTTCTAATTAATAACAACAAAAGTAATATTGTTTAATATCTTAGAAAATAGGGAGAAAAAGATTCAAAGAATGAATTATCTAATGCACTATCTGAAGCTATTGTTAAAGATAAACCTAATGTTAAATGGACTGATATTGCAGGTTTAGAAGCTGCTAAATCAGCCTTATAAGAAGCAGTCCTTCTTCCAATTAAATTCCCTGATTTCTTTGAAGGAGCAAGAACACCTTGGAAAGGAATCCTAATGTATGGAGTAAATATTTAAATAAAACAAATAGCCTCCAGGAACAGGAAAAACATATTTAGCCAAAGCTTGTGCAACAGAAGCAGAAGGAACCTTCTTTTCTGTATCTTCAGCTGATTTAATCTCAAAATATGTAGGAGAGAGTGAAAAATTGATTAAGACTCTATTTTCTATGGCTAGAGAATAGAAACCATCCATTATATTCATAGATGAAATTGATTCAATGTGTGGAGCAAGAGGAGAAGGCCAAAATGATGCAAGTAGAAGAGTAATCACTGAGTTCTTGGTTTAAATGTAAGGAGTTGGACATGATGATAAAGGAGTCCTTGTTCTTGGAGCAACCAATCTTCCATGGGCTCTAGATACTGCCATTAGGAGAAGGTATTCCTTAATATATAATATTTGTAGATTTGAAAAAAGAATCTATATTCCACTTCCTGATGTGTAAGCTAGAGAATATATGATTTAAAATTCTCTAAAGAAAACTAAAACTACATTAACAAAAGAACAATTTGAAGACATTGCTATTAAAACAGAAGGATATTCTGGATCAGATATTAGTGTATTGGTTAGAGATGCTGTTTATGAACCAGTTCGTAAACTTTAATCTGCAAAAAAATTCAAATAAATACCAGTAAATGGTCAATTAAAATGGGCTCCAGTTACAGATAATGAAGAAGGAACTCCAAAAACTTTTATGGAACTAAATCAAGGAGATATTGCCATTCCAGATGTTTGTTACAATGATTTCTTATTGGCTTTAAAAAAATCCAAGAAATCTGTTTCATAAGATTAATTAGGAGAATTTGAAAAGTGGACTAAAGAATTTGGACAAGAAGGTTGATCATTTGCCTTAAAATTATTATTATTACAAAATCAAAAAATTTCATTATTTCTAATCTAAATTACTTATTTTTTATAAGATGTAACCAAATTATCAATCAAATATATAATAATATAAACTTACCATTAATATGAAAGCACAAATTCCTAACACCAACCAATCATATTTTGAATTTGTTCCAGTTTCTTCCTCTAATTTTACTTCTTTTTCTTTTTAAGCTAATTTATCAACTTTTTTTATAATCTTAGATTTTCTCATTTTCCAATTTTATTCTTTTAACCATTTTCTCAGATCTTTCATATTTTAAAGGAATAATTATTTGAATTCTTCTTATACTGAAGTATCATATAAATCGATTCCAAATTATGTTGCTTTTTCATTTATAATGGGTTTTGTAAAATTTTATCTACTAATTCTTTCAATCTTCATTTTAGTTGCCATTAATTAAGCTAAAAATTATCTATGTTTTTCAGCTTCTTCATTTTTACCTTGAGTTTCATATAAATGTAAGATTTAAACACCTCTACTTTCTATAAACTTACCAAGTTCATTGATTTCTTCAGGTATCTAAATACTTGTATCTTCCTCAAAACTTGGTTCATATGAAAGTGTATTAAATGAGTATTTCTTCCAATCTTCACTATATTCATAATCTTCTTCTTCTGAAGATGAATCATCATCAATTATATCTTATTATTATTTTTCTGTTGATTATATTCCTTATGTAGTTTAAGGAGATGTTTTATCAATATTTTTCATTACATTTTATGATATTTCAATACTTGATCTCATCATCTTTTTCAATTCTAATTTCGCTTTTGTAAGATCCTTTCTTATAGCTTCATCATCATCAATTTAAAGTGCTTTCTCTAAATCTTGAATTGCTAATTTATAATCACTCTCCTCAGCATTTATATTATCCAATCTAGCCTAACTTTTTCAAAAACTAATACTTTTGCTCTTCTATAATATGCCTTAGAATTATCTTAAATATTTAAAACATAATCACAAGCTGCAATCGCATCCTTAAATTACTTTTCTTTAATGTAGCAAATAGCTAAATTTAGCAATAATTTTATTCTTATATCAATAATTCTTTAATCAAAATTATCATCCTTATACGTTAAATCATCATCTATAATTCCTTCATTTTTCCAATTCGGATTCTTATTTTCTATATAAAGGAATACACTTAAAGATTTTTCGTATTCATGAGATGCATTCCCAAATTTCCCTTTAAGCAAATAAGTTAATTTTTATACCTTATTAAAATAAGTTATTTCCTTTTTCCTTTAATTAATTTGCAAAATCAAGTCTCTACTCTATATCCAATTTTCTTTATTCAAGATATTCATTCAAATAATATAAACCAGCTTTTATAAACAAAGGCTATTTTTCAAATACTTTTCTTTTGGAATGCATTTCATGTGATTTAATAGCCACAGCCTATTAGAACATTTAATTAAACTCATTCATAATTTATAATATATTTTATATTAATTAATCAAATAAAATAACATTAAACTTGAATATTTAAGAAATTAAGGTACAGGTGTCATTTATTAATTATATGAAGGTGAAATATATATTAAAAAGCTTATAAAATTTAATCTTCATTAGAATTTATAAATTATTATATAAGAATTTATATTAATTTATGTCTTATGATTGTAAAATTCAATCTGTTTGATCTATAAAATTTATGAATAGCAAAGCCTCCTTTAGTTAAATAAAAATTAAATAATTAACTATTTGACAAATATGTTGAATATGAAAATATTGATATTTAATACATTTTTTATAGATGTTCTTATTATTAAGGATACTATGACTTCACCCATTTTTTTATATTCCTTTTCAATATCAGTCATGATAACTTTTATTATGCTTAGATAATCTGCATATAATTCTTTATACATTAAATGCTATTGTTTCAAGGATAAATTCTATTAAATACTAAAATATTCATAATATTAGAATTATATTGCTCTCTCCTCTTAAGAAATAGTATTTCGAATAAATTTGATGACTCATTTTATTGATCTTTTGTAATATAAAATTAAAAATTTCTTATAAAATGAAAATGGATTGTATATTATATTAATTGATAATTTTACAATAGTTTAAATTCATATCACTCTACTTTAGACTGTTATCCTTTTTTCTCTTAGAAATTTTATAAAACTATTTTTTTTTATTTATAAATATTCTAAATTTTTATTTATTAATTTCCATTTTAATTGCTATAAGAAATTTATGTCTAAAATTTCTCTTTATAAAAGTGAAGATGACCCTAATAGAATTTTAGATAATAATTTATTAAAGGGAATTTCTTATATTTTGGAAGAGTTTATTGATGAACCGAAGGTTTTAAAATTCTAAAATCCTTTATTTGATTCTGAGTGTATTCCTTCAGTCACACTTGAAAATTATTTGATTAGAATTAAAAGATGTGCTAAATGTAGTGAGGAATGTTTTATAATTGCTATTATTTATTTGGAAAGAATTTAAGAACTAAATTAAGAATTATAATTCAACAGATAAAATATCCATAGGTTATATTTATAATTAATATCAGATTTTTTATAATTGCAATTGTTTTAGCAATAAAATTTCATGATGATGATATATTTATGAATGAATACTATGCTAGGGTTGGAGGAATCTCATTATAAGATTTAAATGGTATGGAAAAATGCTTTTTAAATCTGTTAAATTTTTAATTTTATGTTTACGAAGAGACTTACTATTAGTATTTAAATAGAAAAAAAATAAATTTTAGAAAATGATAATATCATATTGGTTATTAAAAAGATTATTTTATATGAGATTTATTTGTTAGATTTATATATAAAATAATAATTAATTTTATTTTTATTTTTTTTTCATTTTTTTATAATAATAAATATTTTATAATCCAAATTTAATAGGCTTTTTATTAATAAAATTATAAGCAAGCTTTCTGAAAACGAAAAAAATTAATGATGTAGGAGAATAGTAATTTAATGCCTGTTGATGAAATCTGGAAATAATTGAGTAAAGTAACAACAACTGTAAATAGGAATGTTAAAAGAATGTCCTAATTATTAGATCAACTTATTACTCATACACTTTCTAATGATGGTGATTGTTTATAAATACCTTAAAGGAAGGTAGATAATCATATTAAAGAAAGAGAGAAATATGCAAAAGATTATAAATAATGTGTACTTCGTGAATTGAATATAAAATTGAATTAGAGTATAACAAGTTAGAAAAATATTTGTAATAAATGTTAAATGATTTGTAAAACTAGAAAAGGTTACTTACTTCATTTGTTATAAAAACATTGTGAGTACAAATTCTATTTTTGTATTAAATGTTATGATAAATTTGATAATTTTAATAAATTTAAATAGCATTTATGCAATAATCATGATGAAATAATGATATTTTAAGTGACAGAATAAATATAATAATTAATAGATCATGGAGCAAGAGAAATATCTAAAGAGTGATCTATAAAATATAATTTGAANTAGATAATAATTTATTAAAGGGAATTTCTTATATTTTGGAAGAGTTTATTGATGAACCGAAGGTTTTAAAATTCTAAAATCCTTTATTTGATTCTGAGTGTATTCCTTCAGTCACACTTGAAAATTATTTGATTAGAATTAAAAGATGTGCTAAATGTAGTGAGGAATGTTTTATAATTGCTATTATTTATTTGGAAAGAATTTAAGAACTAAATTAAGAATTATAATTCAACAGATAAAATATCCATAGGTTATATTTATAATTAATATCAGATTTTTTATAATTGCAATTGTTTTAGCAATAAAATTTCATGATGATGATATATTTATGAATGAATACTATGCTAGGGTTGGAGGAATCTCATTATAAGATTTAAATGGTATGGAAAAATGCTTTTTAAATCTGTTAAATTTTTAATTTTATGTTTACGAAGAGACTTACTATTAGTATTTAAATAGAAAAAAAATAAATTTTAGAAAATGATAATATCATATTGGTTATTAAAAAGATTATTTTATATGAGATTTATTTGTTAGATTTATATATAAAATAATAATTAATTTTATTTTTATTTTTTTTTCATTTTTTTATAATAATAAATATTTTATAATCCAAATTTAATAGGCTTTTTATTAATAAAATTATAAGCAAGCTTTCTGAAAACGAAAAAAATTAATGATGTAGGAGAATAGTAATTTAATGCCTGTTGATGAAATCTGGAAATAATTGAGTAAAGTAACAACAACTGTAAATAGGAATGTTAAAAGAATGTCCTAATTATTAGATCAACTTATTACTCATACACTTTCTAATGATGGTGATTGTTTATAAATACCTTAAAGGAAGGTAGATAATCATATTAAAGAAAGAGAGAAATATGCAAAAGATTATAAATAATGTGTACTTCGTGAATTGAATATAAAATTGAATTAGAGTATAACAAGTTAGAAAAATATTTGTAATAAATGTTAAATGATTTGTAAAACTAGAAAAGGTTACTTACTTCATTTGTTATAAAAACATTGTGAGTACAAATTCTATTTTTGTATTAAATGTTATGATAAATTTGATAATTTTAATAAATTTAAATAGCATTTATGCAATAATCATGATGAAATAATGATATTTTAAGTGACAGAATAAATATAATAATTAATAGATCATGGAGCAAGAGAAATATCTAAAGAGTGATCTATAAAATATAATTTGAATTATATGATTAAAATATTGTTTCATAATCCATTAACTTATTATTCTTAAAATTGTTTTGTTTTATAATTTTATTCACTCCTTTCAAAACTATATCATTTATAAGAATAAATTAATAAATATTTCTTTAAAAAAACTAATAAATAAATAAACTTAAATTTTATAATTTTAAACTACTAATATATCTTATAGGATTTATTCTAAAATTGTATTAATATTTATATTAAAGTTCTTAGTAATTAGTAATTAAAAGAAATATATCTATGTATACTTTCTTCTTCTTATTAATAAGGAATTAAATTTAATTTCAATGTATTTGAGAGTATTATAAAATTATCAATTATTTTAATTTTTATATATTTAATAAAATGAACTCTTTAAAATTTTACTTTTTAAACTTACTATTAATTCAATAATAAGTTTAATTAGAATGAAAAGAAATCTGAAAGAATTTTGATTAGTTTATGAACATTTATATAATATAGATATAAATCATTTTTTGGCTAAAGCATATAAAAATATTCCAAAAGAAATTAAACTGGCCACTGTTCTAACTGCATGTAGTTTACCCCATTATTTAAGTAAGGCTATTTTAGAATCGTCTTCTAAATTTGTTTACTCTAATAAAATTTTATTAGTTGGCATTATAGCAATCAATGTAAATGGGATAACTGAGGCAAGCAACAAACCAGCTTTTAAGGTAAGTTTATTTTAATATTTAGCATAGTTAATAATTCCTACTAATCCTCCAAGAAAGGCTAAAGAGGCTTACCATTTTGCAGCTCTTTTGTAAGATGGTACCCATTAATTATAAGCAACATCAGCTCCACAACTTAGTCTTGCAGGATGTTCAACAACATTAATGTAGATTGATGCTCCACTGAATAAACCAGCAAAAGCTGTGCCTAAGAGAGTTAATTTAGTTTAGGTATCCATTTTAATTAATTATATTTGTGCGAATTAATTTTAATTACGGCTTAAATAATAGTTATGAAATATAAAGACTTATAAAATCTGGTAATTAAATATTAGTATTTAAATACAAATGTTATAGATAATTCATTCATACATATCCATATTTAATAATTTAAGTTTAAAAAAGCAATTCAATATTAAACTACAAATTTAATAATATGAAATAATCATTATAATTGTAAATTATTGATACTTTGTTATTTCATGTTTTTTTATGTTAAACTAATTCATTATTATGTTATATAAATTAACATATTATTTGTAATACAAATTTATATATGAAATTTTACTATTAATTATTATGCATATTCATTTTAACATAATGAATATATGAGATTATTAGATTGAGAGAATAAGAATAGATTTTTGAAACAATGAATCATAAGGATTGAGAAATAAGAATGAAAATGAATTAATTTATATTCATGATGTAATAAGACTTCATATAGATAATTTATGAAATTAATTATTCTTGCTCTCCTTGTTTCCACATAAGTCTTTGGTCTTGAAACATCATGCACTAAACTTGATCCAAAATAAATAAGTGACTTACATGATGCAGAAAATTTAGTTTTCTCAGGATACCTAAACATTTTTGAAGAATCTGCAAGTGCTTTGGCATTTTTATTTTATGGACATTAATCAGCTAAAACAGTTGATAAATTAAAGGATTATCCAACTTTAATATACTTGAATGGATTACTAGGAGAAACATCTTAAATAGGAAATTTCATAGAAGTTGGACCAATCAGAATTAATTCATAAGGAACACTTGAGAAGAACGTTAACACTTGGAATTCTTAATTCAATCTATTGTTTATTGATCTAGTTGTTGGAACAGGATATTCTTATCACAATACATATTAAGATATACCAACAAATGCTGATCAAATATCTTCACATTTCATCTATGCTCTTGAGTAATTCCTTAAAGCTGATAATGGATGTGTGAAAAAACTAAAGTTTACTGGATTAGAAACAAGTGATTGGTATATATTTGGTGAAGGCTATGCTGGAAAGTAATAACTTTTTTATATTGTAGATAAGTTGTCCATATTGCATCTAAAATTTTAGATTCTTAATCTGCAACATTAAACAAAAATCTTAAAGGTATTGGTCTTGGAAATGCTCACATTGATGCAAATAGCTTAATTAGAGAAATTCCATCTTTTGCATTTAATCTTGGGTTGGTTGAGCCTAGAGAGAGATCTGAACTTGAAAAACTTGCCTTAAGAGGAATTTAATAACTTGAAAAAAAGGATTATTTAGGCACTCATATTACTATTTAAACAGCTATAGGAATGATTCATTAATTCAGTGGAGGAATAAATATATAGAATATAGATTAATTGACAGATATTGAAGATCATATTTCTAAATTCAAGGCATATTTAAATTTAAGCCAAACAAAAATTAATTTAAATTTTGATACAGGAATTCCATTTTAATAATCTTCATCTGAAATTATTAATGCATTAAGTTAAGATTTTGCAAAACCAGATGCACTTCCAAAATTAAAATAACTATAAACAAAACTTAAAATTTTAATTTATAATGGTTAAAATGATATTCTATGTCCAATTCCAAGTACTTTAAGATATTTAAGTTCTATTAATGATGATTTTAAAACAAAGAAATTAGAAGTCTAATTATAAGGTAACATTCCAGTTGGTTACACATTAAAATCAGGATAATTAACATTTGTAACAATTAATAATGCAGGTTTCCATATTCCATTAGAAAAAGGAGATGTTATTTTAGAAATAGTTAAGTAATGGAAATGAAATTATCAATAAAAATATTATAATAAATTCATTTTTTATCTTCAAATAGTGGTAACTTAACTTCATTTCAACCTCCTTCCTTCTTTCTTTATTCTTATTTTCTCTTAATATTCTATAAAACTTAATGATTTTTTATTTCCATCACTATTTTATTCTTCCTTACCAAATATGGCTTATATTTCTTCATCTAAATCACATCTTACATGATGCACAAATAATAATTCTAATGTATCTTCCAATATAATCTTTCTATTTTTAATCTTATCATACATAAAGATTTAAACTATATTAAATAAATTTCTTATTTAAAATTAGTTTTGCAAATGTACCTAGATTCCAATTAAGTAGGATTAAATATGCATCTTCTAAATTCATATTAATTAATTCTTTTATCACCATCTATATCTATTTTCCATATAAATAATTCTGCATATTTAATTTTTAATAGATAATCTACTTTTTCAAGTGTATTTGTAATGGCTTCTGCATTTATTGTTTAATTTTATCATTCTTAATAGTCAATAAGTAATTGAAAATAGAATTAAGTCTTTGTTTTTCTACATTAGATAATTGTTTTTTTTATGTAATTTTTCAACTCTTTTTTATTAATAACTACTAGTCACATCTATATTAATTATTTGATTATTATTAAGTTGAATTCATTTATTAAATAATATATATAAATAGGTACAATAATTAATCAATCAATCAATTAATTAATAAAACCATCATTAATACAAACAACTTCTCTGCATTCTCTTACAAAATCATAAGCTTATTCAAAAGACCAATCATTCTTTCTCATTAAATACATAACAGTAAAACAAGCTGATCTTGATTTCCCTTATGCACAATGTATGAAAACCTATTCATTTATGATAACAAAAAAACCTTCCCATTTTCTTAAAATGCATTCTCTATAAATTAATATACTTAATCAAAATATTATTTAATATAAACTTGTGGTTCATCATAAATTTCTACTTTCAGATATTTCACTATATTTATAATGATATATTGTATTACATTAGTTACTGTAATTTTATATTTCAACAGTAGCATTTACAACATGAGTTATACCTAATATATCTATAAGCATTTCAGTGTCTTAAGCATGTTCACCATTTCCTAAATACAATTTCTTTTCAATTATTTCATTAGGAAATGTTTTATCCAAGAAACCTCTATTTCTAACTATACTATAATTCAAAAAAGGATAATTTGCAAAAATAATTTGAACAGGATCTAAAAGAATGTAAATTTATCTAATCTTGTCTTTCTAGAATACTTAATATGCTTTCAACATAGTTTCAAATATCTCTGAATTCGAATAGAAGCACTCATCTCCATAATCTAATAATTATGGTTGGCTAACAGATCTATATTTAATCTTTGGACCACTTGATATTGAAGTTTCTTTTTATAAAAACCAAATCATTACCATGTAATTCAAGAAGTCTTCTACTTGATATAATAGTTTATTTGTTTCCTTATTAAAATAAATTTTATTATGAAGGATCTTCAACTATTTGATCATCAATCTATTATAATATCATAGTTTAAGCTCTATTTTTTCTTTGAAACATATTGTTCTTATTTGTAATTTTTGTAATCTCTTACCATAATGAAATAACTTCTTTTATAGGAATACAGAACTAATCAGAAGTTTAAGATCCTTCACTTTTTATTTTATGTTTAAAAATCAAACTGAACATGTCTGATGTATCAAAAGGAACAAAAAAATTATAATTCCTCTTTCTATTGTTAAATAATTTTTCTAGTTTCTGACGTTCTGAAATTTATTCTGGATATTGAAAATGTTTTTAAATATCTGCAACTGTGTCAATATTATCCAAATTAGTTATATGAATACTATATTTTAGGTAACCGTTTTGATTTTCTCTAAAATCATACACAATGAATGGGAACTTTTGAGAAATATTAAAAAAGAACTGAGGAGTGCAAAAATTAATTTACATTATATATTATTAATTCAAGCTAGCTCATCTTTAATGATTTTTATCATTTATTTTATATTAAGATCTATTTCATTTGTAAATGTACACAAACAATACTTTTCTACAAAAAACAATAATTGTTTATTATCGCATTTCTCTATATTACTCATTAAACTAAGTTCTTCAAAATTACTAATCTTATTTGATAAATTTCTTGGTTTCTCAATCCATTATTTAGTAATTATACAATATAATTATAATTATTTTTAAACTTCAACTTTTAAATCATCAATGTACTTTGCTAATAAATCATTCATAGTTGTACAATCTTTATAAGATCTAATCTTACCATTCTTTTAATTAACTTAAAAACATTGTGTATTCTATTCATTAATTTTTTAACGAAAATTTTCTAAAAAGAATTTCCAAAAATAAAATAGAATGCATTTCCATTTTAATAAAAAAAAATGATCATAACTATATATCTAAAATATTTATTTTTACTTTATTTTTTCAAATTATTCAGATAATTTTGTAAATATCTATAAATTCTATAATTTTTCTTAATATTAATTATTATCCTTTATTTAAATCTCATTTTCAATCTCCAAAAATTATTTTGGCTATTTCAAAAACATATCACTTTCAAATATTTAAGGCCATGTAATTCTATTCTCTTCATAATATTCTAACATTCTACTAATCATTTAAATTATCTTAGGGTTTCTATTATTCTTAGGAAATTGCACCTTTTAATTCTACAATTATATATATCAATTAACCTTAAATGATCCTAATCTTATTTTCAATTAACCTAAATCTAAAATTGATTAATGAATATTCCTTCCAAATGCTAATTCATATAAAATACATCCAAATGACCAAATATCAAATTAATTTGAATACTTTTTATCATCAAATATTTAAGGAGGAACATATAAAGGTGTACTAAGTAATTCTAATCAATTTTACATACCCTTTTAATGTATACAATCCTGCTTTTTCTGGATTTCCTTCTATAAATCTAGCAAATCCAAAATCTGCTATTTTTATAACATTTTAATGTAATAAGATATTATCTGGTTTAAGATCTCTATGTATTACATTCTCTTTAACTAAAGCCTAAAAGCCTTTTGCAATTTATTAAAATATATCTACAATTTATTCATCAGAAATATTGGGACTAAGTATAGAATATGAAATTAATACTTTTTTTTCATAAACTCAGTCAAAGTTCCTCCATCACAATATTCAATAAATAAATAAATGTAATTTTAAGAAACTTTGAAATCGTAGAATCCAACTAAATTCTCTGACTTTACTCTTTGCATCACTTAAATTTCTCTACTCTTAAACATTAAAATTAAACTACATTTATGATCTCCTTTAGAAGTTCTTCATTCTAAATTCCATTATGTTTAGATTGTTTTACAGCAACCTTAATATTCAATTTCTTAGATTTCCCTAAAAAGACTTCTCCACATTTTCCCCTTCCTAATTCATTATTATTATATACCAAGTGGCTTTTTGTAAATAATGTACTCTCCCACATCCTTTGCAACAGAATTGTCTTCAAATTTATAAGGATTAGACATATAAAAAATTAAATTAATTTGTTAACTAATTGTTTTAACTACTTTATATTAGAATCAAATACAAAAGAATTCTCTTTAATAGAGAGCGAATTAAAAATTGTTTTTTTAAGTATTAATAATAATAATAATAATTCTTAATATAAATTATTAGTATTTCTATGTTAGTAATAAGTATATATATTTGAATTATTTAATTAATTCAAAATTTATGTCAAGTTCAATAAAAACTTTTAGGTATTGTAAAATAGCTGGTCACTAATCAAAAAGGATTATAAGAATTTGTGTTTCAAATTAAACATGTACAAATAGATATTTATGTGAATTATGTTTGAAATCATAATAACATCAACATATTGATCAATGTATAAGTATTGATCAATTTCTGTAAAGAATCAATCAAATTAAAATGAATTACAAAGATGCAAATAAAATTGAAGAGATATCTTAAATACTCAAAAATAAAATAAATTCTTGTATGTCTATAATTCAATAACAATTCTCATTATTAGAGGATAGAGTTGAAGGCATCAAAACAAATATTAGAAATAGTTTTACAAATATTACTTAAGTCTTAGATTAGTTGGCTTCCAATCCTTTAGGATTTAATGATGAAAATCTAAATAGAAACTTATATTATCTTTAAGAGGAAAGCTGGAATGAGTTTTAAATATCTGTAAATAAAGGTTCACATATAATGAAATAATATTTCAACAATTTACATGAATAATCACTTAAATTTAAATTAACAACTGGACATTCATAATAAGGAAGCACTGCCCAATTATTATAGATTCCAGAGACTATATGGCGTTTAAAAGGAATTGATCAATCTTTTGAATCCTAATTACCATATCGTTAAGATATCTCCAGATTCATAATCTATTACTCTGCATAAACTTAAGAGCTGATGTATGATATTTTATTATAATATATATGAAGAAGGAAAACTAATAAATAATAAAGTTCAGTAAGGATATTGGTGTATCAAAGTAAAGGATAGACCACATATTAAAGGAGGAGGAAATTATAATAATGGTATTAAGATAGGTGAATGGACAGAAATTGTAAGAGACAATCCATTTTAATATCATTACATTACTCATTATTTCAATAATAATGGTGAATTATATAATACTGTGGATATAAATTATTGTGATTTATCTTCAGATGTACTCAAAATACTAGAAGAATATGAATAACCAAACTTTTAATCCAATTAAAATTCAGTAGTTAAAGACTTATCATCAAGAGTCTTTCTTTCACCAAAAGCATTTCCTAATGATAGAGTAAGATTAGGTTCATATTCATCAATTGGAAAATCTAGTAGAAAGTTAGAGAAATATCTATGATATTATTATTAGATAACAATAAAATTAATATTATTTCTAATCTTGTCTTTCTTTATATTTATATATAATATTAATTAATAGAATTTTAGTTATGACAATAATAATGAAAAAAAAATATGATATTTTTTTATAATTAAAGTCATAATAATAAATCTTCAATATCATCATCAAAATCTACTTATTCAGGAGCTGGTGCTTAATATTTTGGTTTATAAAAGTTGCTAGCATTTTATTAAAATCTATCATTTGACTCTTCAATGAAATCATCTGGATAATCATCTGAACTTTATTGGAATTAATTTTAAGCAATAGATTAATTTTGAAATTTAGATTTATTATCTTATAAAGGTTCAACATCATCATATGATTCTAAATCTCCTGATGAATAATCTTATTATAAATCATCATATTTTATTGATCTTGAACCTGGTATTGTTGGTTATTTTTATTAATCTTCAAATTTTTAAATTTTTGAATCATAATTAGATTAAGAATATCCCATTGATTATTAAGGATCCATATAAGATGATTATTATTAATTGGTTAAATAACTTTATTGAATAGGATTTTAATTAGATATTTTTTAATTATAATTTTATTTAGGCATACTTTCATTAGATAAAAAGTCTTCTTCTAAATCTTATTCAAAATGTTATTAAGATTTTTATTATTAAAATTAGATTTATTAATTATTTTATATTATTTTTGAGGGGGAATAATGTTTTTTTTCAGTTATTGATTTATTTTTTGAATTTTAATTATTACTTTGTTATTACTAATCCTATACTTATTATGATGGTTATTATTTAACTTTATTTTAATCTGATTCTAATGATTATTCAAAATCTGGAGTTGATGGTCTTTTATGTTTTTTCTTTCCTTTTCTTATTGGTTATTTAATTTCTTAGACAACTTATGCTGCTACTAATTATGTAAAATTTTAAATTAGCTTTGCAAAATTGTTTTATAATTAGACCATTTGTGTTTAAGGTTGTTAAGGTTATGTTTTTTACAAAAATAATTCTGGATTATTTTATTATAATGATAGTAATTTTTGTTTTCTTTTTTAAGTTTTTTTTAGAAATATTTATCTTTCCATTTCATCTTATTATTATTTAAGATTTTTTTTATATTCTAAATCTTATATCACTGTTCCAATATGTTCTTTTGATTAATCAAATAATATTTCTTTTAAATGATCTTCATAAATTGGTAAATCATTAACAATCATATATTAAACTAAATCTGGAGTTAATAAAGGTATCACTTTTTCAACATGTTACTCTTTTGATTTTTTTATTAATTCTTCTTTAACTATTTGTAATAATTATTCTTATTTTAATTACATATATAAATATTAATAAATTATGATCAATCAGTTTTAAGTTTATAATAAATATAATCAATAAGTATATTATTATTAATTTATCATATAAATCTATTAATATATAAATACAAATGATTATTATTGACATAGAAAATTGAATTAAAAATTCAGATTTTTAAATAGATTCTGTTACTTTATTTATATAATATTTTTTGTATTAAATAATAAAAGTTTGTATATATAAAATTGATACAAAAGATAAATTTTTACATTATGTATATGTTATAAATAACAAAAAAGATGAGTCTATTCATTTTAACTAATATTATCCTATTTGTTTAAATTATATTTAGTTGTATGACAAATTTATATGAAATTTGAAAAATTAAAGAACAATTATCATATACTATAACTATGATCGAATATATCAATATATTGATTTTTTGAATTTTGTAAAATCTAATTGACCACTCTTCAGTTTAGAAGAACTTAGCAATTGTTGAATTTTTGATATTGACATTTTTATATCTAATGGTGTTTAATATCCTGATTAATGTTAACTATCTTGTATTTTTGTACTAGGAGTATGGAGACTTTATTTAGAGATTGTATTTAGGTTATATTTAAAATTAGCTAATTTGATTCGAAAATTGGTTGGTGGTGCATGAATTCTTTGTGGTTTTTCATGTAAAGAGGGACTATAAATTGCTTATGCTTATTTTAATGATGAGAGAGTAATTTTTTTATTGCTTTTAAATCTATTGATTGTTTTCGAGGGTTGTTTTTGTGGCTTATTGAATTATTTTTGATAAAATTAAAGACTAAATAAGGATGATGGAGTATAGTTTTTATTTTCTTCTTCTTTAACTATCAAAATGCTTTCATATTCTTAGTCATAGTTGAGATGTTTTTCTTATATTTCAGTCTTAAATCTGCGATTCATTAACGATTATATTTTATATAATATTTTGAAGCTGGAAAGAATTCCTATTAATTAAAATTTATGATCAAAATTAGTATAAAGAATAATTATGAATAATTATCTATTTTTTATAAATTATATATAAGAATACAAAGTAAATATAAGTGAATATCTATGATTATTATTATATAATGTAATATATTTAATTTATTATGCTATCTCTTATTTGATATTATATTTAAATATACAAATAATTTTAATATTATTAATATTTATTATGATATATAATGGATAGTAATAAACTTTCCTATTAATGGATAATATTTAAATTATAAAAACAATGTTTATAACACTTTTTTATTTGCTATCTTTATTCAATTTATTATTTTAATTTGAAGAAAATTGCAAATTTTTGAATGAATAAAATTTATAGATAGTACAATTTAGAGCGTTTGCGTCTTTAACAATCTTAATTAGAATCAATCAAATTAGACAGTAAATATTGATCATATATCAAAGGATCTGAAATGAAAAGAGGAACTGGTTAGAATGCAATTAGAAAAGTTTTTGGAATTGATGAATCAAGCAAACATGAATATGATATTTATGAGAGACAACAAATAGATTCATTTAAAAAATGTTTAGATGATGATAATCAATTATTATCAGATGAACTTATACTAAGATTCTTATATGCTAATTAATTTGATTTTGATTAGACAATTTAAGTAAATATAACCTTTTAAAAAAATAAGCATATGCGCACTCATCAATCATGGATTACTAATCCTAGTAATTTTTAGTGGACATTAAATGCTGAAGAGATAATAGTAAGGAATAGATAACTATATTAAGAAATAAGGAGCAATATATATAAGTGGAAGAGGATTGGGTTTGAAGCCGATTGTTGTAGTAAATGCTGATAAATTGGATATCTCTACTTATCCTATTGATGAAATGATTAAGGCCATTTCAATTATCTTTATGGTTGTGAAGGATTATATGTTAGCATCTGGAAAGGTTGAAAGTTGGTTTGTAATCGTTGAAGCAAAAAATACAACAGCATATAAGATTCCATTTAATGTAATTGTAATAATATATTATGGTAGCATTTGAATTAGATTTTTGAGGTATTAAAACTAAATTTTCCATGCTATTTAGAAAGAGTGTTTATCTTGCAACCTTAAACATCAATCTAAATTACATGGTAAATTGTAGAGTAGTTTATTCCTCATAATTCTCGTCACAAAGTAGAATTTATTGATAACGACTATTCTCTCTTATTTAATTACATAAAACCTAGATAATTAGAATAACGACATGGAGGTAGGGCACCAAATGTATATGATTATTGGCCACCACATATTGATGATTTTAATGAAGTGGAATTCTTAGAGAAATAGAAATTGGAAACACAAAAGATCAAAGAGTAAATAAGTGCACTTTAAAAAGTGATGCCATTTACTTCAAATATTGATTTTGCAGTTTCAGATTTACTAAGGAAATAGTATAAACCTAAAACAAAAGTTTATTAATAAGAAACTTATTTAGATACAACTAATTATTATGTAAATAAAACAGTAACTAAAACTATGTTATTAAATGGACCTAAAAAAGAACATGTAATCTCATATTAAAATGAATAATAAATATAATAGTAATAGAAAACTTAAGAATTGAATACATCTCTAGAATAGAATTAGAGGATTGCAAATAATAATAATTAATAAGGTACTTATTTTCTTTAATAACCTTAATAATAATAAACAATTCCTCTATAAAGTAGATTTGTAGGTTCTAAGACAAAATTAAATGAGTCATAGGGTTCTCTTTTAAATGCAGCAAATTAGAATCCATTATTTCAATCAAGATTTGTAGGCATAAGAACTTAACATTTAGTGACAAATAAAGATGTTAGTATAATGCTTAACAAAGATGAGAGAATGTTGAATCATTCTTAATTAATGTGAAATTTTTAATATCTTAAAGATTTATAATATATATTCTTATTCAAATCTTTATTATTTATTATGATAATACTTTAAATTTATATTGTATTTGTATATTAAACATTTAAAATTCATCTTATCTATTGAGGATTAGAAAAGAGTTAAATTGTAATATGAATTTGGTTTTCAAATCCGTTTTTATGTATATATTAATATAAAAATGAAATGGACCTTGATTATTGTGGCTATTTCTATGTATGCTTTACATGCAAATTCAGATCTTGATACTGTTAAACAATTACTTACAGATTTGAAAACAAATGTGTAATTGGATATTGAAGCATTGGATGCAGCTTGGGAATTACATAAAAATAATAAGTAATCAGTAATAGATGCTTTGGGTTTTTCAACTTAAGAATAGAGATCAGAATGTTCAAAGAAGGATGAAGATGTTGAAAGTAAAAAGAGAGACATTAAAATTACAAATGATTTTATAGCATGGATGGAGAAAAGATAGAGATTAAATTCCAATCGTTTAGGAGTATTAGAATAAAATAGGTACTTTTACAAACTCATGCAAATAGATGTCAATCAAGCAATAATTATGTTCATGATATTAAGAATTATAAAATTGCATTAGCATTAGTGAAATTTTTAAGAGAACAATTAGATAAATTAGATAACAATGCATCTCCTGTTTAGAAATAAGAATTTTTGTAAAAAGTAACAAAATTTGTTTAGATCTATTAAACAGGTAAACTTTTAACAATGGTTGAAAATTTATAAATCAATAATGATGGTTCATATGTCTTACCAACTGTTGAAGGTGATGAATATGATCTAAATGAATCTATTTTATCTTCAACAAGAGGAAAAAGAAATACAAATAAAATTCTTATTTAATAATAATAAACAACTGTTATTGCATAAAATGATGGAGATGATAAAACAGATAGTGCAGTTGTTTTGATTCCTAGTTAATGTGATGATTCAATCAATACAGTTATTGTTGTATAAAATGATGATGGTACAGGTAATGATGATGATTTACATATTAAATTTACTAATGGAGGATCTAATACTAATAGTCATACTAAACCTATTCCTAAACCTCATGTTGATCCTATTCATAAACATCATTCAGAAGAATATGTAAGTGGAGAAGAATTTATTGATAATGATTAAGAAGAAGTAGATGATAATGAAGAAACTGATGATGATAATAATACAGAAGAATAAACACATAATGATAATGATGATAATAATACAGAAGAAGAAACAAATGATAATACAGAAGAGGAAATACATGATGATGATGATGATGATGATGATAATAATAATGAGGAAAGTAATCATTAAGATAATAATGATAATACTGATAATGATTAAAAAAAGACTGGAGATGATGAATAAGGTAGTAAGCCATCAGTTACTGAAGAAGAAGATTTAAGTGTATAATAATAAAAATTATATTAAGGATATTAGAAAGATATTAGATGCCATTGAAAAACATAGTAGAAAATCGTTAGATTTAGAATAAGAAGATGAAGTTAGAAGTTCTATGATTTATATTGATTTTAAACTACACATTGAATTAGAAAATCAATATTTTAATAAATAAATTGCTGGAGAAAAAGAAAACTTAGTATATTATTATTTTTATTTATTATTAGATTAAATTAACTAATTAACTCACCAGTAGAGTCTCTATTTCAAGATAATGTAATGCTAGACTCAAATAAATTTCTATTGCTTTTCAAGTCAGCTAAGATGTAATCTCTATCATTTTTATATATAATAGGATTACAATGACTCATATTAACATTACTTAGAACTTAGAAAATCAAAGGAATATGAGTTGTCAACCTTTGAAGATATTTACAGAATTTATACCAATTAGGTTGTCTGAATTATATTAAATAAAAAACAAATTTATTTATACAAATTAATTTATAATATGAGGTTGGACACATCTGTAATCATATAATTATATTTACTTTAGTATCTAGCTTATTTGACTAAGGATGAATTAAGAGTACTTGTAGCTGTGGAAATGGGCATGAAGAATCATGAATATGTACCTGTTTCATTGATTGAAAAAATATCAAAAGTTAAAAGAGCCAATGCTTATTAAATTTTACAATAACTATTGAAACACAAACTTGTTTAACATGTGGCTAAAAAATGTATAATTCTACAATTAATTAATTCTAGATGATGGTTATAGACTCACATATTTGGGTTATGATTTCTTAGCCTTAAGTGCTTTCTACAAAAGAGGTACCATAGTTTAAGTTCTTTCTAAAGTTGGAGTTGGAAAAGAATCTGATATTTATAAATGTATCAATTCAGATGGTAATTTTGTCATCCTTAAATTGGCTCGATTGGGTAGAACATCTTTTAGAACTATTAAAAATAAGAGAGATTATATTAAAAATAGAACATAATATAATTGGCTATATCTTAGTAGATTAGCTAGTATTAAAGAATATGCATATATGGAAACTTGTTATAAGAATGGATTTCCAACACCAAAACCATATGATTGGAATAGACATGCTATTGTAATGTCTTTTATTGATGGATATACTTTATGTAGTATTTAAGAACTTGGTGATGTAGATGGAGTATTTATCTAATGTATTAACTTAATTGAAAAGTTTGCAAGTCATGGACTTATTCATTCAGACTTTAATGAATTCAATCTTATGATAACAGAATAATAAAAAATTCTAGTCATTGATTTTCCTTAAATGGTATCAACTTAACATTTGAATGCAGAATTCTATTTCTAAAGAGATTTAGATTGTATTAACATCTTTTTTTAAAGAAGATTTAAAGCAAATTTGCATTCAGATTTGAAATTAAAAGATATTAAAGTTATTAAACATCTTGATCATGAAGTCAAAGCATCAGGTTTTATTAAATCAGAACTTAATGATAATAAAGAATTAGAAATTTTAGAAGCAGCATTATAAGAATAATAATAATTTTAAGAAGAAAATGAAAATGAAAAATTCTAATAAGATGATGATGATGAAGATAATATTGGTTAAGATGATGATGATGAAGATAATTAAGATGAAGAAGGTGAATAAGATGATAATGATGAAGATAAATAAGATAATTAAGATGATGAAGAAGATGAAGATGATGAAGATGAAGAAGATGATGAAAATGAAGAAGATGAAGAAAATTTAAATAATCAAGAAGATGATTAAAAACAATAAGAAGAAAATAATAATCAAGAAAATAAAGAATAATAATTATAAGATACTTAAATTCCTAAAAATATAACTAAAATCACAGAATTAGACCAAAAGAATATTAAAAAATTTGTTTAAAAGAAATTTCGTAAAAAGATGGTTATTAAAAAGAATATCAATAAAACTAAAGGAATTGAGGATAATAAAACATTAACTGAATAAGCACTCCATTATTTATGATTTGTTAAATATCATTTATTCTATAATTAATATGTCATTTTTACATAAATTCAAATTTAAATAGTTCAATTATTTATATAAATTCTATTCATATATATATATATCTATATTAAATTCAGCATATTATCCATCTATCTTTAAATCTTAATATGGTCTTTGTTTCCATAGTTTCCCCATCTTTGTTTTCCTAATTCTATATGACATATAATTCTTGTTTATAAATAATGCATTATTAATGCCAAAATCCTCCTGGTATTTTTAGAGGTTTGATATTCACCATATGCAATATGTGATTTTCACCTTTGATTGTAAAAAGAAATGATTGATTTGAACTAACAGTATTTTCATCATAGCCACCAAAGATCATCAAAGAATTAGGCGAGATTTACACTCCAGCTGCAAATTACTTTAGGCCTTTAAATAAAGGAATACTTTGAATATATAGATGATATTTACTCTTTATTTGTTATCTGAGGATCAATAGCCTGCCATATCATATCTTTTATATTAAATCTCTCAATAAAATTCATTTACTATTTTTCATACAATCCCCCAAATTTGTATATGAATTAATTATTATAATTTACACAACAAGAGGCTATAGATGGATATAAACAATCCTAGATTGATTCACTTTTTCTTAATATATAATTATATCTTTCACAAGTCTTCTCTAGAGTTTGATTTTATCCAAGTCCAGATATTGAGTAAATATAATCCCCTACAATACAACAACCATGGGATGATCGACTGATTAAGAGAGACCCAACATTCACTAAAGAATATTTATCAAGTAAATATATTCCATTTGATTTAGTATTAGGATAGTTATTATCAATTGTGGTTCCTCCTATAAGATATAATTAGCCAGTTTTAGTAATTAGTGATTAATGAAAAACTGGAATTTAGAAGGGTATTTTTAAGTTAATTTTCTTCATTTCTTTTGGATTATCAAGATTGATTAAATTTAATTCATTACTATTATATTTAAAATAATGAAGGACTTTATTTTATACACTTGGTAATAGATAATCTTCTACTGTAATAGTGAATTCTGATTATTTTTTAACTTATTAAATTTCACTTATCTAAGATAGTAATGGTGTCTAATCCAAAGATGGAACATCTTGAATATTAATTGGTTGATTAATTAATTGTTATTTCTCTTCAATTTTTAACATAGTTGTATTTGTTTTTTTAAATTGAATCTAAATGGATTATGAAAATAATTCATCAAGTTTTTAATTTAAATTTTGAGAGACAACTAATAATGGAAATTCTTTATGAATTAAAAATAATTACTCAATTTCAAAATTTCTTTGTAAGCCTCTTAATTAGCTGATTAAATTAATTAAGTAGTATTTAGTAAGTAAATGCTTCTTATAGTTTTAATTTAACAATCACTTTAAGTTTCTAATTTAGTTCCTAATTCATCTAATTATTAAATTAGATTTTTGATTCTATTGTAAACTTCTTTAATTTATGATTCCTATATAAATAAATAATAATTTTACTTTAAATGCTTAGATCAAATTAGTACTAAAGTCTTGAAGTAACTTTTTATTATATAAATCAATTTTATCAATTATTTTTGATTTCAATTGTTAAAGTGATTCTCTACAGAGTTCAATATATTATGAAGAGTTTTCAATAGTTTTCATTTCTTATAATGACAAGATCTAATTCATTTCTGATATTGAAGATCGTATTTTTTTGGAACAATTAGTTCTACAGGATTTCAAACTTTCAATTTGACATTCTTTGTGTTCTCTAAAATGAATTTCAATACATTCTGGACATAAAGGTTATAGACATTTAGTATTGATGCACATATTAGTACATGGTTCTTGATGTATTTAACATAGTTCATTTGAATAATAAGTAAATTATTAACTCATTTATTATTAATTTCATAGATTATTACTTTGTTATTCATTTCTAAAATGATAATTATTTTGTAATAATAATAATCTCTATAGTTTAATGTATTAAAAATAGAAATTATAAGTTATATAAAATAATGAATTTTAGCTTAGACGAAATGAGTTTAACATATCAATATCAATTAAAAAATAAATATAGCATGAGATTGAGAAATTAAAAAAAGTGAAATCTAATTAGAAATTACATTTGAATACTCTAAGAATAGAATCATTTATAATTAGTGAAGTTGATTTATTAAGATTTTCTAAATTTATAAATGAAATAAAAAATAAAGAAAATTAATAATAAAAATGATATCATATTTTATTATTATGATATATATTTATTTATTCTACATCATTATTATTATTATTATTATTATTTCTTTAATGATTCTAAATATTGATTATGAATCTTATTTTGTTTTTCCCATAATTCTTAAACAACTTTCTTTTATTTTTTAGATAATTCATTTCCCTCCTTATCTTTTACAGGTATACCTTTTTCATCAAATTCAGAGTATTTATCTAATTAAGATAAAAACATATCTTTTGGATGAATCTTTGCCTTTTCTAATTTCTCTAATTCCTCTTATTTCTTCTTCTCTTCTTCTTTCTTCTTAATTAATTCTTTCTATTAAATAAGTTTTTATTATTATTCTCTCTCTAATTTCAATTCTTTTGGATCATATTATTTCCAAATTGATGCCTTATTATTATTATATAATTTTATACTTATTCTTTATCTTTATCTTCTATTTTAATTCCTAACTCAAATAATTATTCATCTCTCAATTTGTCACATAATTAAAACAATTATTATTTATTTTTTTCTTAAGAAGCAGCTAAAACTTATTATTAAAATTAATTAATGCAATCTACAATTCCATTTGATAAGTTCTTCTCATATTAGAATTATTTCTAAGTGACAATATTTGAAATAGCTTCAAACTCTCCCTTTCTAGCAGCCAATTTCACTTAATCTCTTATAGAACATACTTCTGCCATTATAAACTTAATATCGGATGAACTATTATTTTAAGTTTAATAATTGAGTCCAATTAACTAAATAAATTAATTAATATATGTACTCCCAAAATAAAATGAACATATTGAACAACACTTTGAATTAGTGGAGCTCTAACTGTTTTATTTGCAATTTATACATTAACTTAGTTAATTAATTTATCAATTGCATCTATAACAGTTGGAAAATCAAAATTCTTAAGTAAAGCTGCATGGATCACTTATTTTGTACTTCTAAGTGAATTACTGATTAAAAAGTCATTTTATGTCCATTTTTAAGGACCTGTAACCTATGATTCTCTTAAATAGATTTTTGTATTTTAAAAGAATTCTTGATATGCTTTATCTTTTGATATTGCTTATTCAACTTGTTCTTCAGAATAGTTCATAACTGCATCATATTAATGTATAGCAAAATTTAATCTGATTTATCTAGCAGTGTATCTCTTGAGTACTTCATCAATAGTGAGGAAATTCTTAAGAGATTTAGACATTTTACGATCAGCAATATTAAGATGACCAAGATGAATAAAATAATTGATCCATTAATCACAATTGAAACATGCTTCAGCTTATGCTAAAGAGTTATCATGATGAGGGAATATCAAATCAATACCTCCTGCATGTAAATCAATAGGATTTCCCAATATAGCACTAGCCATAACTGAACATTCAATATGCCATCCTGGTCTACCTTCTCCCCAAGGACTAGGCCATTTAGGTTCTTCTGGTTTACTGGCTTTCCATAATGCAAAATCATTAGGACTTCTTTTTTCTGATTATTTATTTGCTTATGATTCTCCTTCACCTTCTTATAATAAATCTGCATTCATTTCTGGTCTCATTTTTGGATATGTATGCTATAATATATTAATAAAAATGATTTACTCCATCTGCCAAATATTTTTGAACATCAAAATATACACTTCCATTACTATCATAAGCATATCCATTGGCAATTATCTTTTCAATGAATGTTACAATCTCAGGAACATAATCACTAACTCTAGTTATTACATCAGGTAATTCAATATTGAGTGCTTCCATTGCAGAAAAGAAATCCTTTTCCCATACCTTTGTAAATTCAAGAAATTCTTATTTAGCTTATTTTGCCCCATTAATAATCTTATCATCTATATCTGTGATATTCATAACACTCAAAAGATCATAATTAAAATAATCTCTCAATGTTCTTCTTATTACATCAATACCCAAATATGTTCTATATAAATATATATTATATAATTACCTAGCATGACCCAAATGAGAATTACTGTAAACTGTAGGACCACAATAGTAAAAGCTTGAATTTAAAACTTATATCATACTTAACTTATCTTCCATTTATAGGAATGAATGGGACTAATTCACTACCCTTCAAAGAATTAGCTAATTTTAAGCCTGTAATATAAGAGTCTTCTTTAATTGATGGCTACTTATAGTGAGCAAATAAATCTTTTTATTGTTGCATAAATTAATTAATGGTTCTTGTTGCAAATTTAATCATTTATGAAAGAATTTAAAAACATTTAAATCAAATAAATACTCAGTTAATCTAAGAATCATATACATAATAAAATATCCATAAAAATTCAATTTATTAAAATTACATATTCCATTTCTTAATTCATACGATATTATCATAATAAATAATAAGTCATTTGACTTAGAAGATTAATACACCAAACGTTAAAAAATAAAAAAAACATAATTAAAAATAATGGACATAGATCTTCTTTCCATTCCTCAAGATTCATTTTCTACTTCCTTTTAATAAAGAAATCATAATAGCAAATCAAATAAGGATATCTTAATAAAAGAAAGTAATATCATATGTCATTCAATAATTACCTATCAATTTATAAAGCTTGTTTTATTCTTAGCATATTATTAAGAAACCCTAGAATCCCCTTTATGTAATGCTGCATATCTAATTTTCATTCATGATGTTATTACTTTACTTTTCTACATGATATTAGAGTAAAAATTGTATTAAATCATATAAGTGCTTTAACTTTTAAATTCACCTACGAAGAACTATTTAAAGAAGATTAAATTCTTAATATTTTTGAATTGAATCACAGTTTAATATTTTTGATTCTTTAAGAAGTTTTCTCATCATATAGACCTTTGAATGGAATAGTATTACTTTATAAGATCTAATAAAAATGGTTTAAGTATCCTCTAATTATAGTGAGAATACTTTATTACTTCACATCAGTCTATTACTTAGTTTAATGGTTAAATAGTTCTCAAGAAAATAATTTACTAATAAGATAATAATTAATAGAATTAATGATACTTTGGTTTACAACATTAACTATTATGATTTTAATTGGAATTATTATAGTTATTAATATCACTTTAAGAAAGCAGATTAGATTTACATTCTAAAATAAATTATAATAAAGTATTTCAAATCAATTAACTGAAATCAAGTTTTAAGAAGTAATTTAATCATTTTAGGGATAAAATATAAATTGGTATTATTAAGAATTAATTTCAGTCCTATTTGTTATGAATAAATTAATGAATTTGATACTATTATTCAATTACCTTGCCATTAAAAACATTTATTTCATTCAAAATGTTGTAATTAATGGTTATTCTAAGATCTTCGATGTCCTCTCTGTAGAAATGAACTTCTATGTAAAAAATAATATTCAATTAAAGTTTCTTGTTTTTGATTAATATATTTATAATCTAAAATTTATTTAAATAATTTAGAAATCTTTTTTAATTCAAATATAAACAATATAAAAGCTCTTATTAAAAATTAATTATAATTTAATCATTTTTTTCTTTACGAATCAATAAGAGTAATGGACTTTTTATATGGAATTGCCAACTTATCTTATGGTTTCTAAATTGTATGAGAACTCCTCTATGTTTCTATATGTTCTGCTGTTGGTTTAATAAAGATTTTGGGTCTCAGTAACCAAATTTTGTATACCCAATTAAAACATTAATCTAATGATGGTTGATCTTAAGATTTCCAATTCTTATATTTTAGATTGACAAATTACCATACCTATTGATAAAATAAATAATTAATTTACAAGATAACTATCCATATTTGAGAATTATTCTTATTAATCCCAACGAGATTCAATTTTCATTGTTCCTTATTACCATAAATAACAACAACTCATCCATCTACCATACTCTTTTTCTGCATAATATTGAAGTGCAATATACATAATTTTACTAAGTTTGATTGTTGTCGTACTTATTTAAAGAATTTACTCATATAATTATTAACCCAATGTTATTTCAGATCTAAATCTAATATATTATAATTATACCCTGCAATAGGAATCTCTTAATTTATATCAATATTTTATATACTACTTTTCTCTTAACTTAAAATAAGACTTGTCCTTTTATTTGTATTTTGAGATTGTTCTTAGTGTTTGTATTAATTATCAATTGCTCTACATAATTTAATGGCTTCCAAAATTACAAGATGACTAACTGGGTTTGATTTACCTATTCCTAATATTAATTTTGTTATATTGATTATATCATCATCACTATTTTTTATAAGATCCTTAAGAAAATGTGCTTTATTGAAATCTATTTCTATATATTACATAAATAGTTCAGGTCCTGACATATTTGGGAATTGATGTATATTTTAAACTAAAAATGATAAAAAATCATTTGGATTCGTTTTCTACTCTTTTGCTCTTATCTATAATAGAAATATAATAGGATTAATAAGTAAATAGTCATCATTAAACCCTGGATAATCTAATAGATTTAATTCTTCATATGTGAATTCAGTGAATGATTTTTAATCTTTACGTTTAAGTAGACTTGCCAAATTTTTAACAGAAGTACTAACTTATTTTTATGAATCAATCATATTTTTTTAAAAGATATTAAATTAAAAATCCATTTCTTTTAAATCCAAATTTATTTTTCTAATTTCTCCTTCTGCATTCTCTAAATTATTTAATTCCTCAATTTTTGTTTCCAATTCTGCATACATTTATAGCCATTTCAAATTCTCTTCTTTTAAATGTAAATTCTTTTTCTATTCTACTGCAACTCTTAATTAATGTCCTTTTACTTTTTAAATATATTTTTCTCTTAAAGCATCTAAACTGAATTAACAATCTTTTAATTATGCTTCTACTGCTCCAACTTGAATATCTAATAAAGCTTTATATCTTGTTTATGACCATTGAGTATTAAGATCAAGAAGTACTACCCAAAATTTCCATAATTATTCAATGAAGATTGCAAGAGTTTTATCATCTATAATTTTGATTAATGATGTTATAAAGTCATCCATTATATTGATTGCTTTAATGAAAAAATCAAATCTAAAATTATCTGTAATGTTTCTTTCTTTTTTTTCCTTAATTCCAATTTAATCTTTATCAGCCAATGATTCATATAAAAATAATTCTTACATTACATTTTTATCGAGATTTATTAATGTTTCATACATTTTAAAGAGCAAATTAGGATGTTTTTCATAAAGATTCATTCCATGACTCAATTATTATGTTTCATAAAAATTTATATTGAGATGATTAATTACAGTAGGAGCTACTAATTTAGCTTCTTTAACAATTTTATCATGATTATTTGACATAAATGATTCTTCTATATATCTTTAATAGATTTATAAGGGTATTTTAGATGCAGTCTAATTTTCAATGATTCTACTAGTATTAGTATAGCATTTTCTAGATGAGGATCCAATTTATGCACTTTTAACTCTTTGACTAGTTTCTGTGTTTATACGAAGAACAGGTTTTGTGTTTTTGTAAACTCTCTCTGTATATTAACTTGCTTAATTTGTACTCAATGAATAAGCTGATTTGGCAGATTTCATTTGATTATTTTAAATATAAATATTTAGTAACACTCAATAAGTGAATAGAACATATTTTAGGATATAAAAAGAGAAATCCAATACTACTAAATTTACAACAACTAGACATCATTTAAAATAATTTATAATAAACATAAAGTATTTATAATAAAAAAATGAACCCAAAAATGTCAATGGTATTACCGTTGCCTTAATTAAAACTTGAAACTAATGATGAATACGAGAATAGAATAACTCTAAGATTATACATAGAGAAGCTGTTAAATTAAAAAGTTGGGAGGTATGATTGATGTAAAATAGATATCTCGAGATAATATCAGGTATTGCAAGTTTGGCTAGTGTAGGAATATATATAGTTTCAACTTATTTTGATTCAGTTGAATGGCTAGCTACTTTGGATATTGTGGTTTGTTCTTTATATTTGACAGAGTATTTATTGAAATTGTTTGCTGCTTAACATAGATTGTAATATATATTTTCTGACTTTGCTATTATTGAGTTGCTGACTCTATTTCCTCTTTTTACAATTTAATCAGTAGGAAATTGGAATTATTTGTAACGACTTATTAACATATCTCGAATTTTAAGAGTATTTCGAGTTATAAGAATGATAAACAAATTGTAATAATTATCAGACATTGAATATGGTGGAGTGACTAGATAAATATATGTAATATTTTCAACTGTTACAACAATTATTATTGTAACTGCTGGAGTATTATATGCATTCGAATTTCCTAAGAGACAAGAATTAATAGAGAATGATCCAAATAAAGGATGTTCTAATTAGATTGATAAATGTCATTTCCATGAAATGATATACTTCACTATAGTTACATTATCTACAGTAGGTTATGGAGATGTAATTCCATATAGTGAAGAAGGACGTGTATGTGTTATTGTACTTATTATTATTGTACTTGTTGTGATACCTAAACAGATGAATGAATTGATTAGATTAATGGGATTATAAAGTGTTTATGCTAGATCATTCTATAAACCTAATCATGAGATTCCACATATCATCATATGTAGTTATGTTAGTGTACCTTCTTTAAAGAATTTCTGTAATGAATTATTCCATTAAGATCATGGAGGATAAGATAAAAATGCAATCATTTTAAAACCTTCAATACCAAATACAGAAATGGAAGACTTTTTACATAATGAGCGTTATGAAATGTTTCTCATTTATCTTCAAGGAAATCCAATGGTAGAAAGAGATCTAAGAAGAGCTGCTGTTACTTAAGCTAAAGCTTGTGTTATTTTAACTAATAAATAAATTGTAGATAGTCATTCTGCTGATCATAAGAATATTCTTATTGGATTATTAATAAAGAAATATGTGAATCATTTAACTGGTTGTAATATTAGATTATGTATGTAATTGATTAAACCAGAAAGTAAGATGCATTATAAATAATCATTGGGAGTTAAAATGATAACTGATTAAATTATTGTAGTTGAAGAATTTAAAATGAATTTGCTGGCCAAATCTTGCTTTTGTCCTGGCATTATAAGTTTATTAGGTAATTTAGTTACTTCAGCAGGTGAACAAAAAGAAAGTTTAGATTCTGAATGGCTTACTCAATACACTGATGGAATGGGTCATGAAATTTATAGAACTGATTTAAGTTTTAAATTTCAAGGAAAAACATTTAGTGAAGTAGCAGCTATTGTTTATAATGAATTCTCTGGAATACTATTTGGTTTGGAATTAGATTTTGGTAAATAAGCTATAATTAGACTTAATCCTGGAGTTTATACCATATCAAATACAAATAAAGTTCATGCTTATATCATTTGTCAAGATAAAAAAGTTGCAGATCTTGTTGCCACTTATGACATGACTACTGAAGAAATAGCTAATTATCATTTCTCATTGTAATCAAATATCACTGACAAAGACAAACCTAATGAAGAAGAAGAAGATAAAGTTGAAGATCCTTTGTTATCTGGAAAAGATTAATTAGATGAATAAGATATCATAGAAAAAGATTATCTCTTTCTTAATGAACCTGTTTCTTTAATGGATGCTACTTCTATATTTTTATTGGAATAACCAGAGATTAATAATCATATTGTTGTTTGTGGTATCCATCCTTCTATCTATTATTTTTTGCTTCCTTTAAGAGCCAAATATTTGAAAGAAATTCAGTATGTTGTCATCTTAGCACCTGAAAAACCAACTGAAATTTGGGAATAAATTAATAGATTTCCAAAAGTGAAATTTGTTTAAGGATCTCCACTTATTTCTGAAGATTTATAAAGAGCCAGTATTCATTGTGCAGATAAGGCTGTAATATTTGCATAAAGTTCTGATGCCAACAAAACTGAAAGTGAAGATTTCTTAGATTAAATGCATGATGCAGAGAGCATTTTTATTTACAAAGCTATTAAAAAAATTAATCCTTCTATTTAGATCATGATTGAATTAGTTTCAAGTTCCAATATATAATTTTTACTTGACAAAGATTATAAATTTCAAAATGATTTCAAATATGAATTGGTAAGTATTATTTTAATTAGACTCCTCTATAAGCATCAGGAGAAGTCTACATTTCTGCCATGATTGACACTCTCACCTGCCAAGCCTATTACAATCCACATATTGTTACCATATTGTAATAAATTCTAACTGGTATGAGATAATCAAACCCTGTGATCAAAGCTATTTGTGAAGATTTAGATATTAAAGATTCAAATCTATATCAAGTTCCAGTACCTGAAGATTATCTAGTAATTTATATTTTCATTTAGAATAAAACTTTTGGAGAATTGTTTAATTATTTGTCTATTGAAAGACATTTGATTCCTTTGGGTCTTTATAGGTTAGCTAAGGCTGTCGATAATAAACATCCATATGTTTATACGAATCCTCCAGCTGAAACTACTCTCACTCCTAGGGATAAGGTCTTTGTATTAGCTCATTAATTACCTGCAGATTTGAGTGGTATACCATTTGATGCTAATTCTGATCCAAAACAATTAAACACCAAAGAAGTGGAAAATAATAAGGCCTTGAACTTTCTTCTAGAAAAGCTCAAACAATAAACTTCATCTTAAAATGGTGTTAATAGGGTAGGTGGGTATTTATATTATTAAACAATTAGCCAAATAAAAGATTGATAAGACTGTAATTTTTTAAGGTTAATAAATTAAATAGACAAGAAATATAGAAACAGAAAACATGAATCTAAGTAATGAATTATATTAAAATATTAAGATTTGGCAGCTCTACATGTATTAGATTAAGTGAATGAATAAATTTCTATAGTTAAAGATTAAATCAATGATATTAAAAATAGCTTGATCTAAAAGGAAGATGAGATAGTAGAAAAGTGTAGAAGAGCGATTAGGTATGAATTAGGAACAGTGATTTAATAATAGTGAATACGTTTTTAATTAATATAAATATTTATATAATTATAATATAATTATATAATTATATATATATATTTATATATATATATTTTATATATGATTAATAAGATTTAAAAAAGACAATTAAGATAATCATTGAATCATCACTCTCATTGAAGAATTTCTTTAATTTAAACATGTATAAATATAATCTATAATGAATTATATTTTTTTGATGAATAAAGTGTCCTAAATCATTTAAATTTTTAAAAAAATGTAATTAAGTTGCATTTTTCACTCGCTTATAATAAAGACTCTTATTCTAATAAGTAAAGTATTTGATGTGTAAATGGTTTATTTATATATTTTAATCATCTATTGAACTCTAAGGCACTATTTTTTTATCTAGATTTTTTTTATTCTAAAAATATTTGTCAGTATATTGTTAAAAAAATTAGTTTTTTTTGGTTTCAGATCATGACCAATTTATGTTTTTGGAGCAAAATTAACTTCTTTTGTAATATTTTTTCCAGTATTTTTTTAACAACAATTTATATTACAAAATTTAGATAAACTGGAAATTCTCGTTTTTTAAGGATTAAATCTCTAAAAAAAAACAAATATTATTTTTATGAAAAATTAAGCTCTTGTATTGGTTTTATTAGTATATACCGTAGTCTAGGTTTATGGAGAGCCCGTAACAGTTTCTTAATCTTTCACAGCAAACGATTTTACAGACGCAGATGGTAAGAAAAATTATTAATAATATAGGCTGGACGGTCGCTGGAGGACTTGCTCATGTTACAGAGTGCAGTGGCACAAAGATGTTTGGAGGTTTTGGAAAGTTTGGTGCCAGGGCTGTTGCAAGTAAAGTAATTGAACTTCCACCACATTCATTAATTAATTTAAAACTTTAATTTTGGAAGTATGATACATATAATAACATTATAGGATTGATTCATGGGACAATGAAGAAGCCTATGTCTTTGTTGATGACTAATTAGTATGGTCAAGAAGATTCTAATTCAATGAAGGTGAGGGACAAAAATGCGGTTAGGGAGGAGACTGGAAGGAAATGATTGTTAATCTTAACTTGAATGTTAAGCACACAGGTCCAACAGCAGTCATTGTTATTACATCCAACTTGAATGAAGCTGCTGATAATGTAAGATACAATTATAATTTATTTAGGAATCATGGGCTATTAGAGACTTTATTTTATCTGTAGAAAAATGCCCAGAAGGATGTGCTGCTTGTTAAGTTGATGATAAATTAGAAAACTGTTAATTTTGGTAATCATTCGCTTCAAGTTGGACTGCCTTAGATTCTAATAAATTAGGAGCTGATGGTTGGGATGTTGCTGGTGGATAAGCTCATTCTACTTAATGTGGACGTAACTATTTAAATTAAATTATTTAGCTGCTGGTATTTTTGGAGGTCTTGATAAGATGATGGCTAGAGCAGTTGTCAGTAAAGTTCTTAGAATCAAACCACATTACAAACTTAAGATTAAGGTACTTTGGGCTAAGGTTGATTCTTGGGATAATGAGGCTGCTTAAATCAAAATTGATGGAAAATTAGTTTGGGAAAGAAGATTCTAATGGTATGAAGGTTACTTTGGTAAGATATGTGGTTGCCCTGTATTTGAATGGAAATCAATGTTTGCTAGAACAGAAGTAGATGTTGATCATACTGGTGAATAAGCTAAGGTTGAATTCACTTCAACTCTTGATGAAATAGTACATGAATCATTTGGTTTGAGAGATTTATATATTTTCTATGCAGCTTGTGCTGATAATTGTGCTGAATGTACAGGACCAAAAGATTCTGATTGCAAAAGTATTATAATACTTTATTAAAATAGAATGTGCCAATAATTGGGCTTTAGTTGGAGGTAAATGTCAAGCTTTACCAAACTTTATTCTTTTGGAATAATCTTTCTTGGAAGATAAATTCACTGGAACTAATGGTTGGATTCTTACAAACAATAAAGCAGGAAGAACTGTATCTGAATGCAATGGTAAGTCTATGATTGGAGGTCATGATATAATGGGTATTGGTGCCAATGCCAAAAAAACATTTGAAATTCCACCACACAAGAGACTTAGATTATAATCAACAATCTATAAGATTGATTCTTGGGATGGAGAATTCATGATTATCAAGGTAGATGGAACTGATGTATGGAAAACATCTTGGAATCTTTAAACCGGAGGTGCAAATATCTGTGGATTAGGTATTTGGTGGGATGGTTTTACTAATGTTGATGAAATCTTCAATCATCAAGCTCCAAAAGCTGAAATAGTCTTTACATCTACTTTGGATTAAGATGCCATTGATGGTAATACTATATTTAAAAATTATTAGAATCATGGGGTTTCAGAGACTTCAAATTATGGTATGAACCAAAGGAAGCTTGTGCAGTATTCTATAGTGAATGTGATTACAAAGGAGCTTCATTTGAATTTTGCTCTAAATCACCAGATTTCTAAAAAGACAATATTCCTCCATAAATTAGATCTATTAGGATTCCCCCATAAGGAAGAGTAACTTTATATGAGAACACAGATTATAATGGAAAGAAGGTTATTTATACCTCAGATTAAGATTGTATCAAAAGCTTTGATGTAATAATTTTAATTATATTAAATTAGTTTTCATTGATTCAAATGAGTGGACATGTTGAAGGAGGTTGGATTGAAGTAGAGTAATGATCTATTAAATAAATCAATAAAGATATAAAAATAACATAATTTATAAATATTATAGCATTATCATTTAATCTGTTATAATAATCCAAATTAATCAAATAATTTATCGCAATAATAGAATTAATGACTAAATAATTCTGATAAAAATTAATCTATTGCTTTCATTTATTTTTTTACTGTTTCATGATCTTAAAGTGAAACTCTTAGATTTCTTTCTTATTAAATAATTTTAGTAGCTTCTTTTATTTCATCAATTGTTTTTTTACATTCTGAGACAAATGATTTTTTTTCTGTTTATATTGTGAATCTTAAATTATAATAAATGATTCCTGGAAAAGCCTCTGATGTTTCTGAACTAAAACAATCTACTTTAATTTATTTAATTTATAGGAAATATTCTTTTTAAGTAGAATTCATGAACTTATTAGTATGTTTTGATATTTTTGTTTCTTCTTCAATCTTTTTAACTAATCCATATTTATTAATAATAGAATCAGGTACATTGAAAAATTCTAATATTTCTTTTCTCATAAGTATGGGATTTTAACTCATTCCATCTAACCATTGTTGAATATAAAACAATTTCTTTTCAATTTCAGCATCTCCATAAGATGGTTTAGGTAAATGTCCATTTGCTAATTAATATAATTCTAAATATTGACAATTCTAAATCCATTGATCATTCTTAACTTTAATAGTTATAGGAATTAAAACTTTATGTTAATAGTTGATTAATTTTTTCACAACTTATCTTCCTACTATGAATTGAACTTTTTCCATTTTTTATTAAACATAGACTCCACTCTCACTTTCATCTTCAGATAGTGTAGCAGAACTTAATTCATCCTTATATCTTTCATAATCACTTTTTTTATCATCATATTAATCACTATTTTAAGATTTATTATCATCATTTTTATCTTAGAATTCTTCAAAGCTTTTAATTCTTTTAATCATTCTATTTCTTTTAGCAATAAGTCCTTCATCTTTTTATTTCTTTTTTTTCTACTATTTTTTCTTATTCAATTCTTATTAGATTTATTAAGGTATTACAATTAGTTTATCAGGATATTCATTGTCTTCAACAAAAGGAAACTGTTATTAAATTTAAGGAATAGGTTCTTATTTTAATGGACTTTCTACTCCTCCTAATTTATCTATATCAACAATTTCAATAACTTGTTGTTACCATTATTGTTCAATTTTAGGTTAAATAATATTAGATGATTATTTTTCATTACATTATAATTCTTAGAATTAATTTATAGTATCTGCTTAATTTATTTTATCAATCTCATCATCAGAACGAATAATTTATATTTATTCATAGTCAGGATCTTATTTAATTTCTTTTTAAGATAGAGATCTCTTTTCTGAGACTTAATTTCGATTATTCAAATTAATTTTTGGTATTTCTTCTTTAAATGATGGATAAGATACATCTTCTGATTAAGAATTCTCTTCAATTATTATTTAGGATTATCTTACTTTTCTTTTAGATAATTATTTTGGTGATTCAATAACTTCAATTTGTTTATCCCAAATTTCATCATCATCTTTTGAAAATACAATATCCATAATTGCAAGTTGAGGATTTTTAATATCTAATTTAGTAGATTATCTAGTTTAATTAATTAAAAATTAAGCCACTTAAGTAGTTGGATGTTGTTATTATTAATGTGTTTAGTTTTATTGAGTAACTAATAGATGATCTTAAACAGTGGGTTCATTCAATTCATGTAATTCAATCTCTTCTTAATAAGTATTTGGTTAGAATTTCAATAAGATTAAGTATTGTGCAATAAAACTATCTTATTACTCAAAAAATTCACAAAAAGGATCTATAATATGTTATAATCAAATAATTACTATATTCTAATGGATCATCACCTCTTTATCTTTAATAAATAACCAGAAGAGATGATAGTACTAAGCAAATGAGATCAAATATTTTAAGTATTAGTTCATTGCATATTAAATTGAATAGACAAATGAAAGGTAGAAAGGTTAAGAGTTATTCATGATGAAATATTACTGTAATTCCAAATGAATAAAATAATCCAATGATTAAGAAGAGACAACATAAAGCAGATAGTAAATCTTTATAGAAAAGTGCTACAATTAATTCAATTATTAGCACTATTGCAATTTAGAGTTGAAAACCAATCTTAATTTTTAAAGCAATTGTTTCTGGTTTATTTCTAACTTATTTGTATCCTTTAATTTTCATTTAAGCATAACCAGCATATACAAGTGGGAATAATCCAATAGCAAATTAATCCATAATAATTAATAAAGTATTATTATTATTATTATTATATCACTATGCGAATGTCACTAATTTGTCAGGATGACTAGGTGGCTATTCAGATTGTGAGATTTCAATTGATTATCCATCTAGAGTGCTATTGCTTTCTTTTTTTGTTTATGTCATTTCAGAATAACGCATACGTTGATGTAATCTTCTGTTTTCTCTTTGGATGAGCTTGATGATTGCAATTACCAATAGAACAATAATAATAAAAACACCTATGAATATATAAATAGCTGATGATTTAGTGTGATGAGTTTACCTTGTAGTATTGGTTGAGTTCATAGAATCAATGAATAATTATTTAATTATTTTAATCTTATTTTCAAATTATTAATTGTTTCATTCTATTTCTTCTTTACTTACAATAGACATTCTTAATATAATATTACCTAATTATATATATATAAAAAATATAAATTATTTTTATGAACAAAAAATCTCTTACATAAACTGAAAGAGCAACAAGTGCAGCAATAGGTAAAACTTAAATAAGTACATAACATAAACATACTTTTATGACATAAACATAAAAAACAGAGAATTTGTAAAAATTAATTATATTAATAGATTAAATTAAATTGTTGAATAGGAATGTCCACTCTATACATAATATAAATAAAAGAACCCTAATTATCCAATTATGAAGATTAAAGAATTTAAGAAACCATAAATTGATCCTGTTGACCATACTGATTATATTAAGTTTAAAAAAATGAAGAATAATTTTGTAAAAGAATATAAGGAGAAATTAGATAATTATTTTTAGAACAATACAAAATATGAAAGAAGATTTTTCAAAATATATCATAGAAAAGATTAAATTTATTTTAAACATAAAAATTCATCTTAAAAAAATGTTGAAAATCCAGAAGTTACTGATATGAGAACTTATAATTAGATTTTATAAATGAATTAATAATAAACTCAACGTGCAAATTTGAATAAATAATAAGAAAAAAGAAGAAGAGAATTAAAAATGGAAGAGAAAGAAGAAAAAGAATACATAAAACTTATTATGGATAAATTCTTAAAAGAAGAATAGAAATATTTTGATAAATTGACTAATTTGGAAGAATAAGGATAATAAATGTTTTAAGAGAAAGTTTAATTAAGAAATAAATATACTCATGATTATATTAAAAATCCATAAAGAGAATTTGTTGAAAAAAAGGATCTTATAATAAGTAAAGTATTATAAATTCCAGAAAATTTGAATTCATCAGTTATTAGTAATGCTGGATCTCAAATTTAATCTTAACCTACTATATATTAAGCAAATATGCCTTTTTCTAGTGCATTTTCAAGTTTTCAATAATTACCCTCTCTTTAAAATGTATTACAAAGAATGAATTCTAATGTTTTATATTAATTACCTGTCCCTTAAATTTAAGAATATGATTTATAACCAGGTGAACAAATTAAAAAACCATCAACTTATTAGACTCAATAGATTTTGGATCTTTAAAGATTAATTACATTAAATGAAAAAATTGAATTTACTTTTAGAATAGTTAGTGAACCTTCATTATTAGATATAGTTGATTCTAATGGTTGTACATTGTTACATTAAGCAGCATTGAAAGAGAGAAATGGAATTGCTAAGTTTTTATTAATAAAGGGGATTGATTATAAAAAGACAGATAACAAAGGGAGAACTGCTTTGGATATAGCAATCAAATAAAAAAATCAAAAATTAATAGATTACATAAATCTAATTAAAAAGAAAGGACTTAAAGAAATAAATTGATATTTATATTCATTCTCTATATTCTCTAAAACATAAAGTATTAATAAAAATAGATTAATTTTAGAATAATATTCATAATGAATAAGATCTATATTTTAATAGATTAAATTCTTTTTAAACTAATAACAATTGTCATCAATTTTATTTTATAATTTTACAATTTTTCAATCAGAGACAATAAATTACTCATATTCTTCAATTAATTAATGAACATAATTTAAAACTTAATATTCTTCTAAAGCAATTTTAAAACATTAGGCAAAGTCATAGTATTGTAAAGATGTTATTTTGAATCTTTTATGGATGATTTACAAATCTTATTTCTTAAAAAATCTAACACCATAAAGAAGTAAATTTAATTTACAAAGTATACTTTGACTCATTTCTGATTCTTCAGTTTCATATATTTTATTTAAATGTCTTTAAACAAATTCATATTCTAAAATAGATACTAATTTTGGTATTAGATAATCTTAACCTAAACTTAATATTTATTATTCTCTTGTTTCCCCTAAAATTATTGGTTTAATCTCATCCCAATCTTCTATAAAGTCTTATAATACTAAACTATCATCAGTTAAATCTTTAACAGATTCAACTGCCTTTTATTTAAATTTATCAAAAATCTTTTCATTTATTATAGCTTTTTTTGAATGAATTAAATGTAAATCTTCTCTTGTAATTGCTTTTATATTATAACGAAAGAAATAATGAAATATATTACAACAATGTGCAACAAATCTTTATCTTCCTCTTCGATGAATTAATTCAGATAACATTGCATCTTATGCACAACTATTTACAAAGTTTTCAATAAATTAATTAAATCCTAATTAATTTACATAATATTAGAGATCATTTTTATTTATTATTGCATATTTATATACATCCATTCTTCTTAAAAGTTATCTAATATTCTTCCATGGTATACCAGTTTTTTAT